TTCCTATCATCCATTACAGACGTCGATGCATTCAAATATGATACCTATTGGAATGACCGAGTGCAAGCTTGGCGTTAAAGGGGGATGTAGAACGCAGAACTGTAACATATACCTAGAAACCTACTGCGTTACGTTCAAGCTTCGTAGGATCCTCTTAGCCCACACCATACTCTAACAATATGTCACATTTTGGAGAGCTACGTATGCGCATGCACTTTGTGCAATTCAACTCTACTGTCTCACGCGTCCCATGAGATGACATACCATGGTGCGTATACTTGTGGCGTAGACTTGTTGGAGGCAAAATTCCTTGGACTTCAATCGAAGGCATTGAGTTCATCGCACAACCATTTGACCTCGGCTCGACTTGGACCCGTGCTCACCCGCTGATGTCCCAACACACGTAGGCCTGATTTGAATGTTACTAAGCTTAGTGGCCTTGCACGACACTACAAGTGGCCGTATTCGTTTACATATCGAGCACGTCATCGTAACCAAATTCAATGAAATCATCTAGATGAGACCAGAATGAAAAAAGGGTCTTATATAAGTCAGGACGGTGGGTTCCAGCGTCATCAAATTACGCGCAATCCACTGTATAGTCTAGGATGCCTTGTCGTTGGTTAACAGTTGCAATAGCGTGCTACACAGCTCATATGGCGACCACCTGTACATAGATCCTATAGCTGGAAAGCTACAAGACGTATGCTACGTTTGCGACTGCTCACAACGTCAATCACGCGAACCGACAACGGCAGGCACGTGGTAAAAAATATGAAAGCTCAGTGAATGCTCAAGCGTCGTGTCGGGGGTCACAGAAACTGCTTGGACAGGTGGGATCATCATGCATTCGAGTATTTCATCATCTCTTCGCCAAACTTGAGGGTGTACATGAGAGATGCTTCACGGTGGTACCTTTTAGACATCAACTAAAGATGAGTGTCGGCTATTGGTCATTGAGAAGGCTTAAAAGTCGCGCAACGTATGTGTGCGGCTTCAGCTTTATCAAACACTAAGGCAGAAACAGAAGCGGTGGTGTCTTTACGAGTATGATGCGTCTTCCAGCCTCGTTTAGTCCAAGCACTATCCACGACCGCGCTTGAGCAATTAGGCATCGGCACCTTCGCTTGCGCGAATGCGATTGTAATATTGATCCTATCGCGTGCGAGAATGTGTCAGCGAACACTGGTTCAGTAAGTGCGCGCCACCACTCCTCCATTTCGTCCACAAAATACCAATGCGACATAAAAACGGTTTCAATCTGCCTTGATGGCGTGATTGGGGACGAGCATTGGTTTGCCAGAACCGCTAGTTGTTTTTGTAGGTGTTTCGATCGAATTGCCGTCGAAAGGGTTTGCATTAGACCGAATAATCCTGGCTACATTCGCATCAAGGCTTTATGAAATAAGGCTGGATATGCCAATAGTTGCTCGCATGTTGTAGCAGAATGGATATGCAATTTCTGTCAACGAGTAACCTATCCTGTCGGAAGGCATTTCACTTCCTCAGTCACACGGCAGCATAAGGCGCTGTCAAGTCTTCTTCACAGCATCCGTCTTGCTCAACATTCTCAGCGACAGCTCACTGACCATCAAAACAACAATGGCACCGTTTTTTCTCATCGACGTCGCCAATACACGGTGTACTTCTTACGCGCTCGTGTATTCGCAGAGGAGATCGAGATGGTCAGTCAGTTACATCATTGCCAGTGCCACAACAAACGGTTGACACAGCTGCAGCGCTGCGACAGATGCGCAACGATCGCAGCGGATGAAGAGCGACAAGAAGAGATTTTCTGTGACGTGTGTAGTCTCATTAGAAAGAAGACGCATTGCATCGGCTCGCCCGCGGCCTTTGTTTTCTGGCAGCAGAATTTCTGTCAACGGGCGATAGTTGACGAAAAGTCCACGACAGGTCGTGTGCACGGACGGCTAACAGTACACGGAGTACCGTCGGCTTATGTGCCGTCATTATGTTATAACACAATTCAGTCAATGAGCCTTGCGGCAATTCTCATAGCATGGACGATACGAGCCGACAACGTGGAACGTAATATGTACCCCTTCGAGGTGCGAAGTTCAAAGTAGCATATATTGTTAGTGCAACGAAGTACTCTATGTCGACCTTCAAGTATCATGGAGTGAGCTATGTACACCAGTGTCAGCACTGACGGATGCTTGAAAATTCATGTACGCGATCCGTGCAAAAGGAGTGCATAACAAAAATTAGACAAGCACGCTAGATAGAGCATAAACAAAGGGTCATTGCACCGAAGTCGCAGTATGTTTCTTTATGACATCTTGCTTCAATATAAACATGCGTGTACGTTTGATGGCTTCTTGGTCACCATGTAGTGCACGCGTCTACTATCTATTGGTGTACAATAGAGTAACGCTCGTAATGGTCCATGAGTAGGGTGTGATCAACGTCGGTCACAAATTACTCGTTATCGTAATGTTTAATGAATGACGTCACGAGGCACACTTCGTACCAGGTATGTGGTAATACCTTTTGCCGTAACAATGAAAGGTGTGCACTCCCAAAACTACACGTACACAGTACGTGCAGAGGAAGCGAAGAATCTGAACAAGAGTTGCCCAGAAGAAAAGAAAAGTAAAACTGGATACTCCATATCGTTGATCCCCTTTAATACACCTTCTTTGTCTTCCTTACACTATTAGTAAACTACGTAATTATGATGCAGGATCTCACCTATCACCCATTGCGCGCGTCTAGCAGCGACTGGTGGTTTATTCGGTTGACATCATGACCTACGGCATCCAAACGAGAAGCAATATAAAATACTACCTCTATATGTAATATACCAACAAAAGTACCTCTGTGTATAGTATTTCAACAATATTGACTCGCAAGGGTGGTATCGTAAAATATAAAATCAATCAAATAGAACTTGCATCGGCACAATTCGTGCCAATGACATGATGCCACAGGCTCTCCCTGATACGTTGCACGTCCGTCGACTAAGAACTCGAATGACTCGCTCGTTGAACAAGTCCATATCTTTTGCAGTGGAAGTTCCGTCAAGTGCGTACATCATTTATGGACAGCACGCCAGCTCACTACCAGCGATAGGCTTATTTCTGCAACTCGCAATGCACTCTCCTTCTTGAAACGTCAAGAAACTAACTAGGCGGGACATGCTGCCCATGACGTGCGTATCGCAAATGCGTTCATAGACAAAAACACAACACAACTGCTGCCGCCGAAGATTTGCACGTGAACATCTTTGTCCTCCACGACGTTGGCAACAAACTGACGATGTGTCAAGCCTTGGGCCAAACCACGAAGTATCCGTGCTGCGTTGCAAGTGCAACAGATCATTTCAGCTCGAAATGCGTGCGAGACCCGCGAGTCGACAGACGGCTTTCGATTTCGTGGTATATTGCCAGCATCGATAGATCTCTGACGGATGAATGAGTCTATTCGGGCATTCACTATCTTCTATCCTCACATCGACATCCACTCGGCACTGGGTTACCACATTTGAGCTGTGCCGAACACTGTTCTCATGATACCTTCGCACTGCCTTTCAATCGACATCGGTGAGATTTTGCGCTCAGGTCAAGTCGACCACGCGATACATCTTCTTTCTCAAACGACGTTCCTATATTTCAAGGCAAACACGGGCACGTACTCAAGAGGTCTGCTCGATTCAACAAACAGCTTCTGGTTCCTTAGCACCCAGAGCCTCCAGCCATTCGCAAGCAAGCTGAAGGCTCGAAAAGCGACATGAGGTTCGCCGTGCTCACGTAAGCAAGGCCACCAACCAGGACTGCGACCACAAGCCATCCTCCCGACATGCTGTAGCCGCCGTAGTAACGCATTTGCTGCACTTCGAGTTTCTGGCGCGGAAGCAATCGAATGAACGCGAGCGTCGAGAGCTGGAGAGCCCACGCGATAATGTACGTATACGTGACTTGTAGCCGCGTGGAGTGAGAGTCGCGACGCACGTCTTCGGGCGAGATTGCAAAGTTCGAGCCGATCGCTTTGTATAGGGCAGTACCAAACGGGATAGCCAAATTCCGGAACGTGATCGCGAGCCCGTGAGTGGTGCCCTCGATCCCGCGAGGTGCGAGTTCGACGATGGGGAAGATCGTGACCAGGAAACGGATCGCCATAGCGGGTGCTGCGAGCACGCGCATGTGCAGCCAGAAGGTCTGGTTTCGCACGATGTGAAAGACCGTGCACACTACGGTAATGACATCGATGAGCATCTGCCAGAGAGTCGAGATGCAGTACAGTTGCTGCCAGTCTCCACGTAGCAGAAACCGTTGTGTCATAAACAACCCACCGACGTATGCCAATCCCCACACTGCTGCAGCGACGGTATTTGGCCAGCCATCCAGCTTGATCCAGTTCACTTTGATCGCTTGAGCTGCGCTCGAGTCGATCGTCCCACAGAAGCTCGAAATCAGCTGAAACATCAAGAGCCGCCACATCATGCGGCTTTGGACGAGTTTCCAAACGAGCTGAAGACGCTCGCGAAGGCTCAGCGGGGGATCAAGCGGGACCGTACTCGGCTCATTTCGGTGGGGTGGACACGACACGACATTGGCAAAGGCAGAGCCCGGCACCGGCTGAACTTTCGGGTCTTCATGCACTAGCCAGATCGAGCTGATGAGCGACATCATGGCACACGCTGCAAGCACGAGCATGACCTGGTTGATGCTGAGCGACCAGCTCGTTCCGCCGTACATCGACTGGTCGAGGGACCCCGTGACAAACAGGCTCATGATGACTGCACCAATGGACCTCGCTGCGTAGATGCTCACTTGCGTGCGCCCTCGAGTCGACAAGGGCTCTCGCTGGGCCACCTCCACCACTATAGCGTCTGCAGTTGTATTCGCCAAGCACATGCCAAACGTCGCCAATGACGTAAAGAACATGTACTTCCACGCCACGTGTTCGTTCTCCGCGCCGAGTGTATTGGACGCTCCGAGATACAACAGACAGCCAAAACACAAGAGCCATCCGATAATCATGTACGGTTTCCTCCTGTAGCCGCAGATGCGCACACTATCGGTCAAGAACCCGCCAAGCGCTTTGCAATTCCACGCTGTATTGACCACTGCTGACGCCGCTTGCACGTGGTGCTGCTGCAAGTTAAGATACTTGCTCAAGGAGGGCACAATGGCAGTGTAGATACCTCCAAACAAGGCGCCGACGACAAAGTAATTGAGCAAGAGACCAGCCGAACGTCTCGACAATAGACTCACTGGTCCCCCGGGTCTCATGGCTCCGTCGTGCTCGAGTCCGTAGAAACAAAACTCCTGCTGCTCCTCCACGACACTCGGGTCCAGTGGTAACGTGCGACGCAGCACCAACGAGTCGCCACGAAAAACCGGCGGCATTGAGTCCATACTTAGCGACGGCGAGTCATACGAAAGCGGCACCGACAGCACGGAGCTCCTCTTGAGCCAAACACCCGAAGGTTTGCCTTCGCTTGTGATCGACGTCATGTGAGCGATAGGTAGAGAGCGACAAAGTCGATCGATGGACGGACGACAGACGACTCTGCGCAGCTATGTCGAAAGCGTGAGGTCTACGAGCCCAAAGTCGGTCACGTGGGGACCGACAGAAACTGTGTACTGTAAAAGCTCTCAAGACGGGGCTGGAAAATGGAGGATTGACTACTTATTGCCTCGTCGGCTTTGCCTGTCGACTTGGCGATGAATGGATAGACGGGAACGTCTGCAGCAGCGTTGTTGCGGCTTCCAGCGTGATGGGGTACATGGATGGGCATTGCGGACGCTGTACCACCAACGCGGTGTGTGGTGAATTGATACCTACTACTGTACATGGGTCAAGACGATGGAGAAAGAGCAGATCCTGAGACTTTGTGTACCACCACACGCGCGTTAATACAATGTCTGTCTGTGTCTGTCTGTCTGTCTGTCTGTCTGTCTGTCTGTCTGTCTGTCTGTCTGTCTGTCTGTCTGTCTGTCTGTCTGTCTGTCTGTCTGTCTGTCTGTCTGTCTGTCTGTGTGTCGGTCTGTCGTGTCTCTTGGGGTCATCTCGTCAATCCAGTGGGAGTGGGGACTTCCCCTTTGTCGGCTTTAGATAGTGTATAGATCGCGGGGCCGAGTGACGTGCAAAAGCGGGACACGCGTTTCGGTCGACTGATGTTGCGTGGGGTATCGCAGAAAGTCGTCAGTGGCGCGACTTTCTGCCTATTGGTGGAGGACAACATCGAACTGGCTCTTCAGGCGCTATGACTCGTCACGAATGTCGCGAAGAACACGTTCCTTGTCTCGTGCTACGACTGCATCGTTCTTCCCCTCACTTGGCTCACGCTGCTGACCCAACCGGTCAAAGCGTCACGGAAGACACGCTGCAACGTGCGCGTGGGCCGTGACCATGTCCGGGGCATAGAGGACACAGAAGGGCATCTGAGAGGAAGGTCAGGTACGCCTTCAGTGGTCCTCGACATAGACCATCTCGACTGGTCCCTACCACGTAGCTCCCTCCAGTAGCACACTCGCTGCGAACAGCACCTCGTGCCAAGTGAGTTTGCTCCGTGGACTGAGTGAGATGCACGCCGACGAACGGTCGGACACGGGAAACGACAAGGCGAATCGAGTTCTAGGTCAGGAACTTGTTGATGTCTGCATAAGGGATGCTCGATGGTCTCTGTCCACGTGTCGCACACGTCGGAAGCCTCTGTGTCCGTTACTCTTCGTCTAGTTTTGCACGCCGTACTGCCTCGCGCAATGCCCGCGACCGGGCGAAGACAATCGCTTCCGTTCGACTTGGGTTTTCGTACTGAAAATCCCCCGTCCCGTCCCATCCGTTTAAATAAAGAGACCGACATATCGGTTCTTTGTCACGTCTGAGGCACTCGGCCGTTGTTGCGGTCGAGTCGAAATTGCAAAGTGTCACGTGTCCTTTTCGATCGTCGTACCTGTGTGTATCCACTTTTGCGATTCGCTAAAAAAAGAGGTGGAACACTGCCGTAACGGTATTTGCGATACTGTCGCTCAGTATCGGCGCCTCCCGTCGTCCCAACGGATCACGTCCATCGCAGACGGTCATATGCGCCCGCGTCGCAGCGGTCCGCCCTCGCGGTGGTTCGTTCGGGACCCGGCGGGGATCGTCGTCGCTCTGTTTGCGTGGGTCCTCGTGTTTGGTCTGTTAATGGCAGTGCTCGTGTCCATCTCCCAGTGGGTGGGACTGCTGTCGCCCATTGGCGCGACGGAGGGGATCTGGTTCACGGGGCTCTTTGGCATGTGCCTCTGGAGTCACGTCGTCGTGCTCAGCAGCGATCCAGGCACAGTGCCGTGTAAGCTCGAGGGACGGGTGGGAACTGGAGAGGAGAACGGAAATGACGAAAAAGAAGAAGGCGACGACGACGACGACGACGACGACGTGGAGGAGGTGGTCGAGGAGATGCTGCTCAACGAGTTCGAAGAGTGCGAAGACGACGGCTCGCTGCTCGTCTACTGCGACGAGTGTGCGATCTACCGCCCGTCCAGGTACTGTGTTTGTGCTACGATGACGTGCTTTACTAAGAGTGGCATCTGACGAGTCATTGTCGTGTGGACTTGAGTTTGCAGAGCTGTGCACTGCCATGTGTGTAAGCGATGCATTGTGATACAAGATCATCACTGGTACGGACCGTGTGTAAAAGCAGGTAGCAATGTGATTTGCGTCGAGGGCTTTGACTGACGAACGTCGTTTTGTATCCTGCGGAGCAGTCCGTGGGTGAACAACTGTGTGGGCATTGGCAACCAGAAAGCTTTTCTGTTGCTGTTGCTGTACGTGACGGCCACGAGTGTGCAAGCGATCCTGATGGTGCTGACGCAGTATACCACATGCTCCCGTGGCAAGTACCTGTGTGGACTGCAGCACGAGCAATTCCCAGGCAAGCTGGGCGGATGGATTCTCGCCATATCGACCGTGTTTGGTCTGTTCTGCTCGCTCATGCTAGCAATGGAGCTGTTTAATATTTACCAAGACCCGTTGTTCACGATGATTGCCGACCAACTCGCTGCTCGTCGCGGTCGAGACAACTCGTCGTCGACGCTCGAGCGCAACCTGAGTGTCATTTGTGCGACAGATGGCATGCAGGCCTCGTGGCTCTTTCCGCCACTGGATCGCCGCTCCCAGCGCGACGAAGAGATCGTACACGGCTTTCGAGGTCACTCGGACAGTGCCAAGATCTGCTGACTGCACCCGCTCAGGCACGTCGATGGGCCTGGTTTTCCCAGTTGCCATTGGCGTCCGTGAACTTCAAGTACACGACTCGAGGCACCTCGTGCTTTCTTGATACCGGCTCGAAGGTGGGAAGGTTTCGCTCGTCTTTGTGTTCGAGGAGTACGTGTGTGACACGTCGAGGGCCAACGTCAACGACGCGACGCCGACTTGGGGTGGACTGCCCACCAAAATCGAGTGGCGGTAGTGGCCACAAGCGCTCTGCTACGTATCTCGCGAGGTGTGTTACATACATAGCGTGGTCGGGTCCGAATAGAAGGCCACATGTGCACTGTCTACACTCGTTTTGCCCGTGTGTAATCATTCCGCGCTGTAAACAACGCCAGGCGATTATGGACACGGCGTCTCAAGGCCTTTCGTCCGCCATAGTCAGGTCAAGTCAGTCAGTCAGCCAGTCAGCCAGTCAGCCAGTCAGTCAGTCAGACAGTCAGTCAGACAGACAGACTCGGACGCCTGCACATGTCGCAACGTACGGACCTTTCGTTCAGCATTCTCCCCTCTCCACACACACACATTCACAGTCGTCCGCATAGTTTACGAACACTGTGCATCGACGCCCGAAACGGCGTCATCCTTGTTCACGTCATAAACCTCCGACGTCGACTATCCCAACCTCCAGTGCAACTGCTGATTACGTCAAGTCGGCCAAGTCGGCCACTACTTCTCAGGCGCAATCGCGACAGTCCGTCGCTCATTTCTCCATTGCGTCCACTACCAGCAGCCGCCACACGCCCTCCACAGGCCCTTTACAACCACAAGAAGACGCGCGACGCCCGCGGCAGCTTATGGCCGTCCTCCCGACCCGCACGTGCGACAACGAGCCGACTCCCATTGGCCCCATGAAGACCGCAGAGACGCAACTGATTGAAGCAGTGGCCCTGCAGCCCGTGCCCGACAACGAAGTGGTACCGGTGAAATCCAAACGCCTCTCGAGCGTCACCGTCGCCAGCAGCGAAGGCGACGAGTCCGGAAGCCGCCAGCGCGACGCGCGCGAGTACGTGCTCCAGTACGTGTCGAGCCATCCGGAGCTGCTGCCGGCCAAGACCCACTTTCGCCGCGCGACGACGGTCGCCGTGCCCGCTCCAGGGCTCCAGCTGAAGTACGACACGTCCGAGCACACTGGAGACGGCAGTAGCAGTAGCCGTGCGAGCAGTGACAAGGCGAGAGCGATGCCACACTTGCGGTCCAAGAGCTGGACCGGGGACCCGCGTCGCGACGCGGCACTCGAAGCAATTGAGCACCGTCAGGTGCGCTTTCGCTTCTCGACGGCTGCGTCGGCGCGCGAAGTCGTGCGGGAAATGTACTCGCACCGCCTTCGGGAGTTTCCCGCCGCGTGCGTCCTGACGGCGTCGATGGAGATGCAAGTGGGCTCGGTCTGGCGCAAGATGCAGGTGGACGTGGACCACGACGGCGTCAACTGCCAACGGGTGTCGCTGTTCCGGAAGACGACAAAGGTGTTCCAGATCGCCAAAGACGATTTGATTGCTGCGGCGCTTGCGCCGGAGAACGACAAGTGGGTGGTGGTGCACTACATGCTGCCAGGCAAAGGCAAGGACCACAACCGCCTCTTGCGTCGGTACCGCGTGGTGACATTGCGCTTTGAGGACGCTGCAATGGCTGCGAACTTTGTGGCTTCGGTGCAGTTGTTTGTACAGTGGATGGCGCGCGTGCCGGAGAAAGCGACGCGTCGGATAAAAGTGGTGGTGAACCCACACTCGGGCAAACGTCGTGGTCGCAAGATTTGGGAGTACTGGAAACCGCTGCTGGAGCTCGCCGACATCCAGTGCGACGTGGAAGAGACGCAATACAGTGGCCATGCGCGCGACATTGGGGCTACGTTCGACTTGGAGATGAAGTACGAGGCCATTATCTTTGTCGGCGGCGACGGGACGGTAAACGAGTTCATGAACGGTGTGTTTACGCGCGAAGAGAGTGTGTGGCGTGCATTGGTGGCCACGACGCCAGTATCGCTGATCTGTGCTGGCACCGACAACGCTTTTGGTAAGGGTGTAGGCACGCCCACGCACGCATCGTCCGTGTATTGTATCATCAAGCGAAAGATTCGACCACTGGACGTGATGGCCGTCGAGGCGAACAATGAAGACGGCACCACTCGCCTGGGGTTTGCCTGCACGGGTGTGAGCTACGGCATTGGCTCGGACATTGCGGTGGAGTCGGAAGCGACGCGATGGCTTGGCGTATACCGCTACTTCTACCTCAAGGTCAAGCGCGGCCTGATTGCGCCGCACAAGCACGAGGCCAAGATCAGCTACATTTTGTCGGACAACACACCCGTGCACCCCGAGACGGGCGAGCAGGTCTTGCGCACGTACTACGAGATCAAGGACGACACGGCCGTGGACCAGCACCACGTGGAGCTCTGTAGTATCTACGAAGACTCCGACCCGGCGGCCAAGCAGTGGACGGGCGACGCCGAGTCCATCTTTCGCCCTGCTCGGGAGGAAAAGTACGATGGTCAGTGGCAGAGCTTTACAGCGGACTTGACGTCTGCTGGTGGGTCGAATGTCTACTTTGAAACGAAGTACGCGCATCCGTCGGACGGCAACATTGACTTGATCTACTCGCGCAAGGGCAACGTCGCGCAGACAGCGGAGATCGCAGTGCGCTACTTGACCAACACATTCCTGACGTCGGAGCTGGTGGGCTACTACAAGGTGAAGGCGATTGTGATTGAGCCGATCACAGAGAAGGTGCTGAACGTGGACGGCGAAGTGTTTGCTGGCGCCGGTGCGTTCCGCGTCGAAGTGGTCCCGCAGCTGCTGTGCGTGCTGTCGGAAAAGTAAGTGCTAACGTTATTCACAATCTATATAATGCATGATGCACGAGCGGCACGCGAAGGCCGAAGAAGGCAGTGTACGAAGTAAGTGAGTGTGCACATACGATTGAGAGCGACCTGAGCTGCAGCAGAGAGGGCGTCGAAGGAAGCGCTCAGCGCCGTAACGAAAAGGAAGAGCTCATTGGAAAGATGCTACTTCACACAGTGCGTGGTATTGCCTTTTCTGCCTGTGCTTTGGGCCTGCGACGGACTGTCATACAAGTCGTGACCGGAGATGGCGCATGGGTGTCGTCTCATTGCAGTCGTGTCTATTGCCAGTGTGGCTTCCTCTTGTCAGGACTCGAGTACAAAGCGCTCCTCGCAAGTGAGACCTCAGGTGCGAAGCGCCAATGCGACACATGGGACACGATGGCTACATCGTCCCGACGCGTCGTGTCGTCCGAAGGTCGTTTGGATCCGAAGGCCGAGCTGGCTCTCGTAAGAAAAACGAAGTGCGTCTATTTCTATCGTCGCCTCTCACGACTGCGACCTTTGGAGCCAGGCAACAAGTCTGGCGCACGAATAGAGTCGCGAGCCACAAGTTGCACTGCGGGCACACTTCACATCACAGTCTGGTCGTTATCACGACGAGAAACGTTTACATCGCGGCGCGAGTTAGCTGCTAGATGCCGTGAAGTTGCGCGGACGGTTAAATATGAGCTCTCCTGATACAGACGGACGCTCGAAATCTTCTGTCGATTTAACAGCACTTGCTAAATCGAGAAAACCCATGTGTGTGTGTGTGTGTAACTCAAGCTTACTGATCTCATCAAAAGCTTAGTCAGCAACCATGTCGATCAAGTGAATCGATGAGATAAGTTTGGAAATGAGGTGAGATTTATTTTGAGTGCGAACGCCACGCCTCCTATGACAAACCTAGCCTGCTTCCCATAAAAAGGCATCGAGCGAGCGAGCGAGCGGTGTTGATGCCACAAGTAGGCGCCACGCATAGCGACACGTCAGCTCACTTCAATGAATGCCTCGTTTTTACGTAGACTATCCACGCCCTATAAAACGTATCGACACGTCGTGGCGACGCAGAGAACGAAAGCATCACTTGACACAGACATCAGCGCCGTGTCTAGCTAGTACCTGCCACTCAAGACGCTCCCGTTCTTGTAAACTGTCGAGTCGATTGACTACCGCGCCGCCTCGCTCGCATCCTCACAGAATGTGACAAGCCCCCCAGCGCTCTGTAGTGGTCCTTCCGTAACGAGCACAAGTAAGAATTCGTTCGTGAAATCGTAGAAGTCGTGGCGAAAGTTGCTAATGGCCAAGAAGGTGGCGAAAGTTGATCAAGGCGACGTTACGTTTGGTGTTTGAGATTGCGAACGTATAAAGTAGTCTAGACGTTACGTTTTTAGGACGATATGGTAAGAGGAGCGGTCATGTCGACGTCGTATGAACACATTTGGATGGTACGTACAAACGGGACTCTGTCCTCAGTCGTTTGTCGAAAAGCCTCTGCGTGCGCGTGTTGCTCATCCTTTTATTACACCAGACAAGCACTACAACGAACAACACCGAGGTCTTCGAGATCCAGGTCAGTCACCCACACTGATGACTGAGCCTCATGCAGCGTCGTGATGCTCAAGAGGGAGGTCGTTACCAACGGGTGGCATTCGTTCTCGACCACTTCCTTCGACCACTTGCTGTATACAAACGATGGCGACAGTGTGCTGGACTACGTTCGTTAAATCCTTACAATCGTAGAGTTTATGAGTGAACAAGCGTAGTCTGTCATCACCATCGCTTGTCGATACACCCAAGTGCCGCGTCTTAAAGGCATGTCCTAGTCCGGCAGTAACGTGCACTACACAGCCCCTCGAAGTACGAGCCATACTCGCATCATGCTTGGTGATGGCTGGTCTTGCATGTACGTTCTGTAGGGAAAGGCTAGTATGGAGGTTGGACTGTGTCCGGTATCGCTCAGCGTGCACGAAATAATAAAGCCTGATGCTGCAAACGGTGTTTGATCAATCGCCACGTCGTGGCACAACACAACACCCCCCTCCCCCCACCAGACAAGCCAGAAATCGACGCATGTGGCAAACTAGCACAAAACGCTTGCTTGCATGCAGCTTCAGTCAAAATGCAGTTTGCAGTGTCCAATATGAAAGCTCCGACGATATGGGTGAGGACATGTGACGCACATTCTTGCTGAACTACTTGTACGAGGATGAGATGTACGCTGCACACGGAGTGGTAACGCAATAAGAGCATAGAGCGCCGAATGCGTTAGCAGACATGTGGCAATCGCAGCATTGCATTGCGCCACTGAAGCGAAACGGAGACCATGCCGTCGAACAGGACTTTGAAATCGCATTACGTTGGAGAACGTTTTTTTCGGAAGTTGTACGGCCACCTCGAGAAGCACAGTGCTGCTGTTACTTTTATCACGTGTACGATCGCTCATGTACACGTCAAAGCTCTCGCGGGTAGTAATGTCGCCAGCCAAAATGTTTTGCGCCGTTTTGCCTCTACTACGACCTACTGGAGCGACTCGGCGGCGACAGTGTATGCACATTCATCTGCAGCTATTGTATCGAATCGATAGATCGCTTCTATTCTCGCAACTACGTGACAACGACCCGTGGCCTTTGCTCGTATTTCTAACCCTGCGCTCTCGTTTCTAACGAAACCATCGCTAGAAAACTGGGCAGCCGCTCGTTTGCTAAAACGAGGCGGCTGTCGCCCCGTTTCTGCCCCACTCTCGTCGCGTTGTGCACGCCTGTGCCAATGAAAAAGCAGCATCCGGTCTGCGGCTAGGGGTCGTCGCTCTCCCCACGACATCGCGAAGGCCGGAGCAAGCGGCCGCGATAGACGCACGTTCAGTTCGGATTGTTGCTCGAGCCGAGCGCCAGTAGCTGCGACGTACGCAGAGAGGCAGCCGCCAGTCGCACGGGTCACTCCCCCACTCCCTCCCGAGTCGCCACAGCAGCAGTCGCAGTCGCAGCAGTGGATTTGCGACAGACTGACAGACTGACGTAACTACATCCACACGCGCGCGTTCTCTCTCAAAGGTGCGTCACTATTGACACTCGCTTTCCCTCTGTCTCGATGTGGTGCTGTGCTCACGTCTCTGTCTCTTTCTGTCTCTCGCTCTCTGTCTCTCTCTCTGTCTCTTTGTGTGATGTTGTAGCTCATCATGTCGTTCCGGTTTCCTCGATGGGGGCGCAAGAAGAACAAGAACAAGGAGTCGACGGGTGGGAGCAACAAGTACCACCCGACCGGTTCGGGGGTCGGGGCGGCGGGTGGGATCCCGCGGCCCCCGCCCTCTGCCCCTGGACGCACCTACAGCGCGGGCTCGGAGCACAATGGACAGCAGTCGTGGCAGTCGAACGGCACGATGCCGCCCATGTCGGTGACGAGTGAACGCTCGAACCCGTCGCCGGATCGAGGGGCGCCACTGCCCTTCTCGCACCCGCTCTACGCCATGGACGCAGAGGGGATGATGCACCTCAAAGCCACGGGCAAAGGCATGGACGACTCGGACTTGGCGGTGCACCAGGACGAGATCATTACGACTGTTGTCAAGTACGTGCAGGACTCGATGCGCAAGGAGCTGGGGTTCCGAGAGGTGTCGATCCCGGCCGACAGCACGCCTGAGACGCCCGCAAAAGCCAATGTCTTTGTCTCACGCAACTACGAAACGTGCAAGAAGCTGCTGGTCTTTGTAGCTGTGAGTCGTGGGCTCTACCCGGGTCTCTGGAGTCGCGGACTGGTGCTGCATGCTGGCGTCAAAAGTGGAAGTATGCTCGAGTACTTTCGCAAGGCTATTGACGAAGGCTACGGCATCGTCGTGGCGAACCCGAACAAAAACGTCATTGTCATGCGCGACGGCAAGCAAAGGATGCAAATACCTGGATCGTCCAGTCCAGAAGAGCACATGGATTCGCTTTGGGACTCGTATATTGCTCGATCGGCCGCTAGACGCGTGTACTTCTTGGGCTACTCGTACGGCGGTGTGTTGATCAAGTACCTGCTGCAGTCGCGCGGTGACCAGCTCATGCGTCGCAATGGTGCAATTGCGCTGATTGAGTCGAGTCACCGTATCGAAGACGGTGACTCACAGTCGGTCAAGTCCATTTTGGCACATCGTACGATGTACTGGGAAAGCAATGATCAGCCTTTCCAGACCAAGTTGGATGGTGATGCTCCACATCGTACCGGGTGTACGTGTTTGTCCGCTGGCAGACCGCCTCGCGCTCATGCGAACCACTACTACGTCACCGCCTTTTGCATCAACAAGATCGAGGAGGCGCTATTCCGTTTCTTAGACACGCGGGACGCTACTACTTATGTGGCTGGTGAGAAGCCTATTCCTGAGCCTCCAACTTCGGCCCCTGCAGTCATTGGCAACGGTATGGGGGTTCCCAGCGCTCCGCAGCTCCAGCGCCAGGAGTCAGCACGGCGTGAAATGAACAACTCAAAGATGGGCAACAGCGAGAAGCACTGCAACTTGTGTCTGTTCCACTTCACGCTGTTTGACCGTCGTCATCATTGCCGCATGTGCCATCGGGCTGTTTGCAACGCCTGTTCGCGTGACCGACTCTTCTTGCCAGGCTCTAGTACGGCTCAGCGTGTGTGTACGGAGTGTGCGACGGAAGGACCTCGCACGAACCAGGCGCCCACTCAACCTCCTTCGAGTCAGCCGCGTCACAACCGCACCGCCAGCGACGCCGTGACAATCACGAACGCATCGACGGACATATCACAAACGCGTACTCGCTCGGATACGCAGATGTCGAACCAGGGTCGATCCGAGTCGAACGCGCAGCAGCCTGGAAACTCCAAGCTCAGTGTGGAGGATTTCGATTTGCTGAAGGTCATCGGCAAGGGAGCGTTTGGTAAGGTGATGCTTGTGCGCAAGAAGGCTCCGGACGCATCAGCTATTCCGAACGCTATTTACGCCATGAAAGTGCTGAAGAAGGCATCTGTGTTTGCAAAGAACCAGGTCGAGCACACCAAGTCGGAGCGTCGAATCCTCCGCGACATTGATCATCCCTTCGTGGTGCGTCTACGATATGCGTTCCAAAACGAGGACAAACTGTATCTCGTCATGGACTACTACAACGGTGGCTCGCTATTCTTCCACTTGCGCAAGTCACGCAAGTTCTCGGAGAAGCGCGCTCGTTTTTACGCGGCGCAATTGCTGATGTCGATGTCTCACTTGCACGAGCTCAATATTGCTTACCGTGACCTAAAGCTCGAGAATATTTTGATGGACGATAAGGGTTTCATTGCCCTTACGGACTTTGGCCTGTCGAAGGAGAACGTTGACATGCCTGATGGCGCCAAGACGTTCTGTGGGACGGCCGAGTACATTGCGCCTGAGCTGCTGAAGGGCTTGCCGTATGGCAAAGCTGTAGATTGGTGGGGCTTTGGTACGCTGCTGTACGAAATGATGACTGGCCAGACACCGTTTTTCGACCGTAACCGAAAGCGCATGTTCCACAACATCTTGCACCGGGACGTTGTTTTCACCCAGGCGTTTTCGGAGGACGCCAAGGACCTGCTCACAGGTCTGCTGCGTCGAGATCCTGCCAAGCGATTAGGCTCAGGTCCGTCGGGTGTGCAGGAGATCATGGACCACCCGTTCTTTGCCAGCATCGACTTTGACAAGCTGCTGAAGCGCGAAATCGAGCCGCCCTTCAAGCCTGTTGTGAACAGCGAAGCCGACACGGGCAACGTCGCCAACATCTTTACACGCGAAATGGCGCGCGATTCGCCAGTCACGCAGGAGCTAGGAGCTACGCATCGTGCGCAAGCGCACTTTGACGGCTTTACGTACATGCCCGGCAATGAGCATTTGAATTAGCGAAGGATTGAAGGAGAAGCGAAGCAGAATGTTAGATGACTCCCGGTCCTCATGGCGACGAGCAGAATCAAGATTTAGTTGGGGAAAGCTGCGCCAAGTTGAGAGAAGAGCGAGATTCGCTTGAAGTGTACACCAGGCGCGATCAGCTTGACCTGAGCAGGCAGTGGGTGGGGGAGGACACGTGCGAGAGAGCCGTGCCGGTGTGTGTGTTTTGTACGACAAGAAGAGTAGGAGACGAGCGAGTGCGCGAGCTGATGAGGAGTGCGCGAGTCGTTCCTGTGGCTCGGAGCACTGAAGAGTGGAACAAGCCTGGTGCTGCAGTGGATATGCCACGCACAGTGAACTTGCCATTCTTCGTTTTAGCGTCGCGAGAGGCACATAAGATGAAAACAGAGAATCAACATTTACAGCACTAGGCAGTTTACGTAGCCGCAGCACTATCGTCACTGGATTGTCCGCGATCGACTGATGTTGTGCGTCATCAGCTTCAGCTACCACACAAGAGATGTGAGATCTACTCGAGAGAATAGGATAGTTGCAAGAACGAACTGATCTTTTTCTTCGGTGACAACGGTCTAACTTACTCTCGCACATGTCAAACTGACCGGATCTTTGGAATCTTGCACAACGTGCTGACTGGTTTCGTGAAGCTTCGGAGCAGTACAATTGGCGACGTGGTCATTTGTCGCGACCAAAAGGCCGACTGTGCTTCCTTCAGCTGCCTTCGTGGAGCGCATGCAAAGCATCTCTTACCGAAAGACAAGACAACGTAGGACAACCCAAACTTAAATTGTCCTGCTTTTGCTGATCCGGTACCGGTCAAGTGGTTTGGTTGTTAGGCATTGCCACTGGGACTGAAAAGCTCTCACGTCGGTATCCGCGGTGATCGGGGTAACCTATGGTCGCTAGAGATGGTCACTCGAGTAGACAAGAAACACACCACATGTAGCTACCCTGCCAGCCTGCATTGAAAGGTCTGTGATACGTGGGTGGTCTGAAGGATCTACTAGCCGAAAGCCGTAGTGCAATGATGGGTTGGTACCCATGCCGAGTTCAACAAAGTGTTACTGTACCTGCATCTCACCCTCAGGTGTCCGAAAAGGCCGCGTGGCATACCTCCCTCTGATGGTGTCAATCAACCTGGTCAGGCTTGGCCGCATCGACAACGTCCTCATCGGTATGTCGATAGCATGCACCTTTGCAAACCTCGCTCAAATACTGTGAGGATTGACGGGATTTCGTTGCTACAACGTCAAATGGTGCCGCTGTAGTGGTTGCACCACATGGGAAAGCGATTCGACGTGAACTCAAATCGTCCTGCAAAGTCACCTTCTCAACTCGTTACAAAATGCTCGACGAACCGACTTTTTCTAGTGACGCTGCGTGAGTGATGACAATATTTGCTCAGATCTTTATCGAGACCGCTTTGGACTGCCCGAGCTTGGCCTTGTGCGGGTAGTTTTGGTGAGTCGAGTGTTGTACTGACGTCGTGTGGGGCATTCGTGGGATAGCGTGAGCACGAAGTGCCGACGGCAGCAATGCTTACCAACTTTTGCTGCTGGTATCATATTGTGTGCTATATGATTGAGCACGGTGGCGAAGTTCGTCCTGCATCAAACTGTTTGAAAACGGCATCGAAAGGAAAAACGGCAATCTACGTCATCTTTACCGACATAACCTACATGCGGCAACTACTGAAGCTAGCATTGACTTTCTGACCATTTTCGACAACGTAAATATGTCAGCAGCATATGCCAATGACTAGAGCCTTCATCGCGGAACAATGAGCTCATTACATTTGTGTACGACGTTGGATATACGACTCTCGACACCACGTTGCGCTTGAACTGACGTTTCTAATGTAATCAGACCTTTACGGTGCCTAGTGCGGACGTCATCTTTCATTCTCCGCCTGAATCTGGGCATAAAGCGTCATCATGATCAGGACTGTACCGCGCAATACAACACACAATGTGTCGACGAGTAAGCCCACAGGTCCGCTTCTATTATCGTTATGTCTTGATCGTCTGCCACGGTGTTTTCCACAAGTATTGTCAACACCGATGGTCATACCCGCTGCACATACGTGCTGGCAACATCAGTCCCCGACTGTTTCTTTGACGGCGGACCCAGATGCAAAACATATCGACACACGGCTTACTACCACATCACATTTTACAGTCCTTGCACCGTCTAAAAGCAAATGCAAGACAAATCAAACGTGTAAAGATGTTGTAGTATCAATTGTGAGTTAGTGTGGCTAAGTTTGCAAGGACATATTCATGACACTATTTCCTGACAAATCAAGGTAAAGTGGGGAGGTTGACCTGCATCATGATTTTGTTGTTGAGACGATATCATCGAATCTGGTAGTGAGATTAGTTCATTGCCACGTCCAGCAACGCATGTGTGATATGAGCGCGAAGGTGGGACGTCGATGGAGCGCAAGCAAGATGCCTGGCCAAGTGTACATTGCACTTTGCATCTACTCATAAGTTTCTTTTTCGCCACGGTAGACATGTGTAATTTGACTCAGTCGATAAGGACTGCGGGTCATCAAGATTATCATGAAGAAGCGATAATCGGTGAGGAAATGGGGGCAACTTCTATTATGTAGACGGGGAAGCAGTCTGCAAAACGAAGCTATTGCGATAGTGAGTGTCCGTCAAAGTACATTACAAGCGTAAGCACACAAATGGACACAGCAATGCTCCGGTCATATCAGCTACATTGGCATGATAGCATCTACGAGCCCCTATTACAGAAGAAGCCGATACTCAGCGCCGATTGCCTGACCGGTATGACCGGACATCGTATCATCACCAGATTTGAAGTCTTGCAGCGACACTTTCGCATATGAGCTCGCATTATGCACGAAATGTGCTCGCGTAAATCGATATCTTAACACGTTGGCCGGGCAAGATAGAAAACAAGCTCTGGAGCTCGCCTTCGACATTGGATGATCTGGTCTCGTGAACTGCATCGAGCTATGCATCACACAAAGAGCGACGGGGCCCAGGAAGAACGAGTAAACGGATTATCGCGCATATTCCACATGTATAAGTAGAGTGTACCCTGTCGACACGGAGGGTCATCGCACTATAGCTTTCGTGGTGCAAGACCACTCATCTCTATCATCGTCAACTTTGTCACACGGGTTCGGGATGACAGCCGGGTGGAAATCAAGAGCTGTACATGATTGACTTGCAAAAAAACTAAATCGTCCATGAATTTATTGTAATCTGCGTGTATCTCCCGGTGCGTCCAACGCAATTTCTGTACCTTGTGCGTCTTGCATCTTCATTCGCCCGTGTTACCGGCATACCGCTCACCCATTTTAGATCGGACGGTCGGAATCAATACCTCGCCCTGTCCACAGAACCTCTAAGTACCGACTGCACCGCTTCGGGTCGTACTTTACAGTTCATTGTACTCGAGAATGTGTCAAAGTCTAAGAAGAGCGACAAAGACAAACAAAGCGTTAGTTGGATATCAGTGTGATGAAACTTACTTCCCAAACAAAGCGCTATTGATGACGTATCATTTTCGAGACCAGGCTCTGGATTGTGTGGTCTAGAATGAAAAATACATGTGTCCAGAATGATAATGTTGCAATCATACTATATAGTGTCTGAACACGTCTTTTTTTACAAACGTATATTTCTTTATTACAGACGTATCTATCATCACATACGCATACATGTAAACAGCAGGGGTGGAATGTGCAGATGCATTTTGTTTCAATTAGATAAGTATACCTTACTTGCTGCTGCATCTTGGCGATCATTAGTATCGGTCGAACTCATTGAAGAGAAACATCGAGAGCAAAAGCTTTGCACACAGACAATGGGTTAAGTGACGAAGCTTCCTCCTTTGCGACTTTGATAGCTCTAGTAAATCATCAGACATCAGGTGTCTTTCAGGTATGGTACCTGTTGCTGAAGACGCTGCTTATTATGCTGCTGTTTATTCTGCTATCACTGGTGAGAACGCCGGAAGTGTGATATATTCGCAGCTTAAAGTGTCAAGCAATTACTTATTAGCTCTCTCAGGCCTTTATCGCTTTCAAGACAAACGCGTGCGAGCGCATGACTTAAGACACTCAAATGGTGGAAATGGAATGTCTACCAAAGAGCTACATGATACGTTTTCTTTTCTATGAAAAACATGATATTCTGCTGCTCCTGCTTTGACATGTGCAGGACACCCCGCGTTACTGATACACACACGATCGCAAGAAGTTGCAATGTATGAGCATGCACCACCTCGCACCATTTCTGATAATAGCTTCTCTCTTCTTGATCGCAATCACTGTTATAACCATTCTGCGGGACTAATGTCGACGTTATGACAGATTGCCCAAAATGTTGATCTGCCGGTTACAAAGCAGCATTTATGTTGGCACAAAGATCGTTGTGTTGTACAATGCGAAACAGCTTTCTACCCTTAATTTACAGCAAAGCTAATTTTAGCGCATATCACTTCGACAAATCTACGCTGGTGGTGGCGAACTTATCACGTTCAATGCGTCAGGGAACGGCATGATGACTAAAAGATATTGTCGACGTCACGCAAAGAAGATAAATACCGTAAGACGATCATATGAGCGATGGACTCAGCTATGTTGTCATGTCTGAGACACGGCATTATCGAACGAGCATTGCCTATTCCCTCGCAAGAACAATTGTGTTTGTTGAAAGCGCATGATTTCACTTCTTTTTTTGCATCAGTATCAGTTCCTTCTGTCTTCCTTGCAAACGGGCATTATATAGGCTGTAATGGGTCGACACTGTAGACGCCATTTGCCATGTATAAATATGCGTCGTTAGCACTCACCGGTTACATGGCCTGCATGTCAGTACACGTCATGAGTCGTTATGTCGCGCCTTATTGTACCAATATGAAGGTTTATACGATAACAAATGTTGACGCGCTACTCAATCAACCATATGCGTACTAGTTCAGCATAAATGCAGATAAATTTGTTTGAGGTCATGCCAGCTTAAATTTACCATTTAAATTATTGATGAGGGCACAAGTGATTCTTGTTGTTGATGTTTCCATACTGGCAATGAAGTTCAACGTAGTTCATGGCGAGGTGTTAAGAATAGTATCTACGGGAGAAACATCAAAGAAAATTGTAACCTTGAGCTTGTGCACATCGATCGACCCTGGCGGTTTACTAATTTTACGAACTATGTATAAATACAATGTCAGATCGAGCTGAAAGCCTTATGTAATTTTGTACGCTAGTAAAGTGATCAACTACATCGGTAGAAACAACATGTATTATGCAACAGCAAAACAAGGCGATTAAGGATATGGCAGGCGCTATGTTTTGACGCAAATCATTTACTTTTTGCACAACCGACTGTTGGTTTATTGACAGATGCGCTAGAAATGAGACATGCATCAATCAGTCATTATAGTGAAGCCATACTTAGCAAGACGCCCACGCTAATACTGCTCAAATATATGCTAACCTGCACCCGATATCAGTGTGGGCAGGTCCCTCGCAACCTCACGTACACGTATGGCAGAGATATCTACCCGACAAATCGACACGTTAGTTAAATGTCAAAGAGAGCTGTATGTGAATAGCTAGTCATATCAATATAACAAGTTTGACCCTAAATTAAGCAAAGCTACACACAAGCATCATCTAACCCTGTCTGCTCGCCACCCATTGCGCGCGTCCATTATTCAGTGAACACTTTGTCCGTTGTTATATCGGCATGTACTATCCAATGGGTAGACGCTTCTGAGTGTTACGTTTCGAAGTAATATTGAAGAAAAAATGGACCCCTACGAAACCATTTGCTTTGACTTTTACAGATGTCTATCACATGTATCAGGCTCACTTCGTTACACAAGCTACGGCCATCTGCCACATTTACGACTGATGCACCATTCGCTAGACATGAATCGTGTCATGCCGGTGGAGGGTATAAATTACTAAGACATGCAGCAATTTCACAGTCCTCAGCAATTTCCGCTATTTCCATCTTGCTAGATACTGTAGTAGGGCACGTGTCGCTCATTATGTGACAGTATGAGCCATCTACATCGATGATGGGACGGCAACATCGACACTTGCACCGAAAGACCTTGTTTACTGTCGTGCTAGGAAGCGTAGAAAATTGAATGTGACCCTTCGTTGTATGGAAAAGGCAACTGTGTTTCGCAAATCGACATCTCCTAATATCCAATCTTTTGTTGCTTACTTTGATTATAAAAGTAACAGCAAATGTAAAAGCTGAGCAACCGCTCCTGACTCATTGCGCGTTGTCGTTCATTGGTGGCATTGCTGATTGGGATGAAGGTCTTTGTTCAGCCAGTGCGCAGTAAGTTGCCAAACACTGCCGAATGCTTAGTTTCTTTGACGTCTTCAGCTTTTTTTCGCCAACCTATTACTTGCGTTGTCAGTTGGCTTGATGTCAATGTCATGCACGCTGATCTTTTTCCGCTAACGTATTGCTTACATCGGCTTGATCGAAACGTCATGTTGGGCGCACGCTCCTTCAGCGCTTCAAGTCATGTACAAAAATGGATCGCACACTGAGCCCACAGCGATTGCCAAAAACACCAAATTACAAGGATTAAGATGACTAGCCCCTGACAGCACCAGTGTTTTGGCTTCGGATAGAGCTGCCTTGGCCCTGTATGTGAGCAAGCGCCAACTTGCTTCATCAGCGGTGCTCCGTTTCTGAAGCAGACCGTATGCTGATCCAACACCATTGCTCTGCTCTGCACTACAAAGCTGCAACAACGCTTCATTCCCAGCTATTCATTGCCAAACTTTTCATCAAGCGCTTTGCGCCCTTGTGGCCATGACGTCTTCCATAGAGCCTTCACCCACGAGCTCGCTGGACAAATCCCACGATGTAGCACACGAGTAGAACAAACGTCCCGATTGAGGTTGCAAGCTCAGTTGCAAGCTCCTTCTATGATCTGCTGCTGCCGTAACTTCCACACATACGGCCAACAACAAGTGCCGACGCAGGTACTTTGCGCCCACAAACTTGCCGGCTAAATATGTGCACGTAGGGTGTGTCTCAACCTGCTCTGAATGTCATCGTATATAACACGAAAGCAAACGTACTTGATCAACGTCGTACATCGAGACCCCTATGACGAATCCACCAAGTCGGAAGTTTGGCGCAAACACGCGCAGACCCCTAAAAGACCCCACGCGGCGTGTCCACACAAGACGAGCATAGATTGAGCACAACAAATTGGATGTCGCTGTGACTTGGCTGGCAACAAGGTTGTCTAGTGCGGCGGACTTATCTACAAACACACTGCAGAATCCAACATTCGCATACCACAACTTCAGTGCACCGCGCATCCGATCCTCGATCAAATATACGGCTTTCGTCTCCATCCCTAGTCGAGGCGATGGAGATGAGGTCAAGTTCTCTTGTCTCAGCATAGCCTTGCTGTCCGAGGCCGCTTCATTTGTAATGCTGGAAAATAAATAGCCGCGTCTTTTGTCGCCTATTGCAAACTTGTCACTTTGTGGTGCACTGTTCCGATAAATTGGTGTGCGCGGTGTCTCCATTGTCGGTTTGCTTGACAGTCGTTGCTGTCATATCCTTCGCAATACATTCGATCACATCTGCTGGGACGGTCACGTCATGTTTCTTGCTTTTCATTGTCCCAAGCATCGTCTGCAATTCTGTTTGTGGGTACCTCATCCAAGTTTGTCCATCAAGTCGTCGCGCAGGAAGCGCTGTCTTTCCTTCTCGACAGCTAAGAAGCAGCACAGAATAGCGACGTGTTAGTTGATCCCAGCAAGCCATTCAAAACGCACACACCTCTTCCGCCCGATTCAAACATCGAAGGCGAGTTGTCAAGATGTCACTACATCAGTGCAAACAAAGAAACAGGATGCACCGAGGGACGGACCAAAGGGGCAAAGACGAATCGTGTTGGTGTTCAAGCATTTCATTGAGGGGCAACACCCGTCAGTCGTCTCCGTTTCTTTTTCAAGCTGTATGTCCCACATACGTATTTGCTCGTCGTCTGGCCAGGACGCGTTGCTTCTCCATTGTTTTTCCTGCTCTCAGTTCACCTCCCAATTGTCTGCATGCGTGTGTATTGTGTGTGTGCCCACTTCTTTCCCATGAGCCTTCCTGTAGCAGCTGACAATGCTTGATCGCTGAGCAGCAGCATCCCGCTCAGAAGGGGCCATTTGTCAAAAAAGCAAGCCTTCTTGTCTAACTGTTGTCGATAAGCGAGCTCGAGCGACGATATGCATCGTTGCTGAAGTCACCATGCATGAGGTGGCACTCGCTTTCGCTGGCGTTGGAGTTCGAGGAGTTAAAGCCGTAGAAGCCGCTTGGAAGCTCACTAGATGGCTGCGGCACCAGGGCCGGATCGCAAAATGGCGACCCACTCGTCGCCTGCCGAGAACTAGGTTGTCCATCAAAGCCGAGAGAGCTGAGATTTCCACCCTCCCACAAACCTGGCGAAACGAGATTATTGCCAGCACCCTGGCTGCGCGCGAACAACCGACGCCCTGAACCTGCTCGGCCTGCGCTGGAGCTGCGAGCAGGAGAACTCGCTGAATCGACCACGATTGGGCCCGACAGACTAGAATAGTCACCTCCAAAACTGATGTTCACATTTGGCAGCATCTGTTGGAGAAACGCGAGTCCACTGGAATCCCCACCCAATGCACGATTACCGCCAAGTGGCAGCTCACTGCTGCACCCCATGTCATCACCCGACAACGCCCTTGATGGATGCGGTGGTGGTGGCGTGTGGTGCAGCTGTTGTTGATAGCCTTGGAATGGTGGAAAGCCGGACTGGTCCGTCATCGAAGAATAACCAGCAGATACCAATGAACCACTCGCGGTATGAGAAACACCAATTCCGCCAACCGATCTATGGTTGTTGATCGTCGTTCCATCCAGCAACTCGTAGCGGACCGGAGCCTGCTTCACGTCACCACGACCGACATCAGCAGGGTTTGCGAAGGAAAAACGCGAGGCATGTCCGTCGTCAGGCGAAGGTGCCAACGGTGTACCATGCGCCAGCGAGTCGGGCGCTAACTGGACACCGAGGAGCCCTGCAAGTGCCTCCGATGAATCGTTTCGGTGGCTGAAAATCGCATCGATCGATGCAAATGACGATGATGAGTTTGTAGACGCTGTCATCGACGAAACCGCAGGCGAGAACGAGCTGAGGGTGTTGTCCATCGTGCTCGAAGATCCCCATACGTCGCTGGGTGCTGGCGCTTTCGTCACAAGCCCTCTGGCGCTACCAGGACGATGAATGCCACCTTCGAACCCAAGCCCAAAGGGGCTATAAACACCTGCCGAGGTGCTACTGCTGGTGGCAGTATGCCACTCACTCTCATTCTGGGATGCTGATGGAGTCGGAAACGGTTGTGCCCACACCGGCTGTTCAGTTGATGACCCTGCCGCCAATTTCAGCGCCTCCAGTGGGCTTACCACAGCGTCCGCCGCGCAAGTTGTGTCTTCTTCCCGCGAAATGTCGACCCATAACTCCGGTTTTTTGTTTGGTTCAGGATCGAGCGGGCCTGTTGCTGCCATATCGGTGTGCCTGCTGCTTTGTCCTCCAGCAACTATCTTGCTGTACGAATTTTCTCGTGCCGAAGACGGACACTTTATGTTGTGTGTTGCTGTTGTGCTGTGTGATGCCGCTCTGCGGCTGTGATCTGCCGACGAAGGCCCTGAGCTATTGTCAAAATCGCCTGTCGCCTGTCTAAGTTTTGATATCGCTGCTGCGCTCTGTGCGTGTCGCTGCGTGTCTCCGTAGACATCTTCGTTGTGTAATCTGGCTAACGTACTTGCTCTTGCTGGACTCGAAGATCTTGCCCTAGCATTCGTTCCTATCCTGGATGATGATGATGACGCACAAGGTCTATGCGGTGCAGGAAACCGTGAGCCTGCCCGCTCCTCTGCCACTCCATTTGACGTTGACGTATCTCGGAATGCTGCTTTTCCAGAATGTAAAGCTTTGCGCAAGCAGCGTCAACGTCCGTACAACCATACATACACGAGTCAGCCGCACCGTCTTTACTCTGAGCCATTTTTCGCAATAGCAATACAACACCATACCAGTTTGCATCTCCTCTTTTGTAAAGCTATCATCGTCCTCGCCCAGCTCGTGCAGGTACAAGCAGTCTGGATTGTTGCACTGCATATTTCGCAAGAAAAAGTTGCAATACTTGGTTGTTCCAAAAGAAGCCCTGCCATTGTAGCAACACAACCACACACTCGTCAGTGGGCACAAACATGCCGAACAAAGCCACAAACAGGTACAGTCTGTCCTCCTTACCGCAACATGCTTCCATCCAGGTAGTACCCGTCGATTGCCACAATGCAGCTCAGTGCATCCTCCTTGTTAGCAAATGTAATGTAGGCGCTGGCCGTAGCATTCGCTCTGTCTGCGCTCAAATGCGACTTGTTCACAACAGCCTTAACAATTTTTCCGTACTGGCCAAAGCACTCGTTCGAGCGCAGCACATCTTCTTCCGCGAAAGGCACGGGCAGTCCAATGACATATACCAAGTTGCGCTGCATCACGCGCACGTTCTGTAGACTCTTGCGGTTTCCACTCGACTGCTTCGTCTGTGCTGCCGATCGCCGCTCGTTCTTCTCCTTCTGCTTGCGCTGCTTTGTACGTCGTACAACTCTGCTCATTGTCCGAGCGACACATGGGTACAAGAGCATCAAGAGAGAGAGAGAGAGAGAGAGAGAGAGAAACACACACACACTCACACATTGAGCACAAGAGCGTCGCCCATACAACAAAAGCTTCGAGACACACATTGCACGCACTCTTCCCGGTCCAACGGATTCTTTTGCTTCGACAGCTCTGCGTAGGGCTGCCGACAGGCGGGACACAGTCCATTGTACTCGTTCTTGATCTGATGCCAGCACCAGAGACACACCTGATACCCGCACGGACACGCGTTGAACGTCTGGTCCGTCAGGTCCAGCTCTTCCATGCAGAGCGGGCAGCAGTCGATCTCGTCACACTGGTCGGCCATGGGGTACAGTCTATAACCCGAGCGAACAGAGTCAGTCAGTCAGTCACACAGTCAGTCGCAAGTGCGCACGTGCGTCGGTGCGCACATTGCACGATATGTATAGAGAGAGGCAGAGGGGACGCCGCTACCAACAACGAGAGCAACAGCCACAAATGTGCGCGTACTGGTGGAAAGCGCGGGGCACAGGAACGGGGCCGATGGGAATTCTCTCTGTCTGGCGCTGAGGCGGCTGATCCTCCTGTCATTAATCAGCGGGCTTCCGATATCGCATATGCGCTCGAGTGGGATTGATGCCGCCGAGCCCCTGTCAAACGCGATTTGTCCGACGGAGGACAGTCGACCCAAAAACCCACGCGCGTGATCGATGGACCGTTTCACCCAATCTGCTCGCTGGATTTTTTTCGACAGTTGAAGTAGACCACTCGCTCGCTCGCTCGCCCGCATTCCTATTGTCCAGCGCCGCTTGCTTCCTCAATAAGAGCCCCACGAGTACAAGCCCCACTACCACACCTCGATCGACTACGACTAGTGCAACTGCAACCACCGCCCCCTACCCCCTGCAACCTTGACTTAGTCGCGCAACCGCGGGCTCGAGTGACCATCACTCTTGCGACGGCCATGCAGCCACCGGCCGCCGCCTCGTTCTTCCCCACGGCGACGGAGCTCTCGAGCGGCGTCCAGTGGTTCAAAGATCACCCCGTGCTCGCCGCCGCGGCCGCTACGGCCGTGTCCGTCATCACGTACCTCAATGCCCTCGACGTCGCCGCCGCCGCCGACGACGACAGTGCGCCACCACCGACCGCTTCGACGACGGCCGTTGCGTTCTGCGCGCGGCAGAAGCGGCACGCGCCCGTCCGCCGCTCTGGAGCAACCGGAAGCAGCGGCGGCGGCGGCAAACTGTCGGCCGCCGTGAGCTGGTGCGACGAACACGGCGGGAGTTTGACGCAGGTGTTTGAGGACGACGCCCCGTCGGCGCTTGTGCGACGCGAGGCGCGCGTAGGCGATAGCGATAGTGACGTACAGGACGACGACGACGATGACAACGACGCCGCTCAGGACGAGGGACAAGGCCCCGGAGCGCCTCCGAGTGGCCTCCGCAAGAGCGTGACGGCGCAGCTCTTGGCTGCAGTTGGGGACGCGGGTGCGCTGGCGAGCGAGTCGGACGCGGACGCCGTGCAGACGGAGAGCCCGCAGTGGGGATGGTACGTTCCGATTACGCCGCCGCAGGACCAGTTCCACGTGGGACTGGCGGAAGACAATGCGCCGGCGCGAGCGCTCGTTGTCGTAGAGCAGTCGACCAGTGGTGACGTCTGCACGATGCGCCGCAACGTGTCGGGTCATATGTCGTAGAGCAGCAAACGGTACTACTCCCTCGTGCGCGGTACGAATGTCGGTCCGTGTGTCGTCCGTTCGTTCTGTGTGTGTGTGTGTCTATGTCTGTCGAGTGCGCGGGTCGGGTGGATCGAGTGGGTTCGCCATTGCAGCTCTTGTGTCGGCGGCGTACTTTAGTCCAAAGCACTCGTTTTCCTTTGACGTGACGTGGTGCAGTGGGAGACAATCGCTTTGCCTGTTACAGTGCAGTTTGGGCGGAGCGGCATGGAGTCATTTCGATCAGTCGAGCCATTTATATTTCCCATCAGACCGTCGCCTGTATGCTGGAAGGAGCTGAGGGGCCCTACCCCCACGACCGCTTGTCGTGTGATGTGTCGGCGTCAAAGCAGTCAAATGTAGAAACTGATGGGCAAATAGACGAGACGTACTGCCGGACAACGCTGGCGGTCATTGTCGACAGCGCGTTGATGGTGTTATTCAGGACCGAGCGATGCTGCGTTTGCTGACACTATCGCGACAGAAGCGACGCGCATTTTGGTGGAGGAAGGAAACGGGACTCCTGTACACTGCTTTACTCTTGACGACTTTGGCTGAAATGCTCTGACTATAGTCATATGGAAGGCGCGAGAGGGAGGAAACAGTATTTGACAGTATCAGTATGTGACGGCGTGCTGTCACAGCAGGGGGGTGTCATGTTCGTCGACAACTGTCGCTTCTGACAATACCCGCTCGGCCAGAACAGCTGGGCCGAAGGGGGAATCGTAAAAAAACACCAGTGTTCGCCTAAAAAAACACCGTTACGATGAGACTATCCATTAACCTTATTTAATATATACACAAAAGGGTAGAAAAAATACCTCTTTTGATTGAACTTTGTTAGAAACGTTTCTCAGCTAAGTAGGACACTCCACTTTTTAAACGGACTGCAGTCTTCAATTTCGAGACGACGGCTCAGGGCTCGCCCTTGCACACGCTCGCCAATCGCTGCACGTGCATGCCGTCACGTCGACTGTGTCACGGCGCATTCCTCGATATTGCTCCTGTACTTCTCTTTCTCGGCCGTTTCTCCCGCCGTCTGAGTAGACAATAATAGGATACGAGGGACGGGCTGTTGCAGTTTGTGGACTCATAGCCAAAGCAATGCAAGAAAGAGAGAGAAATTGTGCTTTTTCGACGTGGTTGATGACTGAGTGACTAGCAAACTAAACCACATTTTTGTTGTGTATATTGCTTTTGCTGGTATTTTCTTATGTCGTGTTGTTATCGATGTTGAGCAAACCCACGCTGGTGTCGCGTTCTGGGAGTTTAACAACTCTTTTGCTGGTGCAAAGTTTTTACTACTAGTAGAGTCCAGGTACGTGGGTGTGCGTAAAGATAAAATGAGGTACGAGAATTGACAGCTGGTTAATAATGTTGTGGCGATGGTTGCAGGGGGCCTGGAGCGATCGTGGTCACCATGATCGACTTAATGCTAAAATTTCTAAACGTGTCGATGCGACTTTCGGTGTCCACGATCAACCCGACGTTGCTTGCTTCTTGTATTGGCACAATGCATTAGGTCCTTGCAATGCCGTGTGAAGTAAATACCATCAATATTGGAGCTAAATGATATGTGTTGTTAAGGAGACTGCAGTATATGGCACCGGTCTACTTGAATTCACGCTGGCACAAGCCGTCCTATTTCCCATCGGCGTTTATTGCAGTATTATAACATGGTTATACTTGTTCTCCTCTTGAGGAAGTAATAGCAGGTTGGTAATGCTGCTGACAGGTTTTGTGCAACACGGCTAACTAGCGTCGCGTGTGTATTTTAGATTTGATATGGCACGACCGATCACACCATAAACTAAAATGGCGTGGGTTGATCTACTTTCTGGTTGCACGAGATATCTTTTGCGCAAAGCCATCGTTAGGTTACTTTTTGTTGACTCCCATAGATAATGCCGAGGAGACATGTCCTTGCCGACGTAATGCTAAGGAGAGCGTCAATAGTGTATATCAACAACTAATGGGTGTGTTAAAATGTAAATGCTGTTGGACATACCGCTACCATCTTACCTTTCGCTCTCACAGCGACGACGCAGCCAATCCCGCCGCTGCAAAGACTGTTTCGTCCGGGGCCGCTTATGTTTCAAAAGCGGCAAGCTCCACCGGTTCAGAATTCGTCGCTACAGATGTTGCCTTCACGCCCTTGGCTTGTACCTGCGCCGTTGCAGGAGCCGTCGTCTCGCAAGTGAAGACTGCAGTCCGTTTAAGAGAGAGAGGGGAACAGACTGTCTATTATACGAAATTATGGTGTACAAGACGTCTGGAAAGACCTAAGCCACGATAGCAACGCCAGTGTCGAATGATCCGGTGGTTGGACGAGTCTAACCGCTGTGTGCGGTGCTCTAGATGGGACCATGGTGAGCAGCCCGATGCATTGCATAAGACGAGTTCCGGCCACCTGAGTGTGTAGCTTCCTAAACTCCCGCATCGCTAGTGCGTGTAATTGCCGAAAACTTTGAACCATGTATTCGTACATACATCCCGCCAAAGTGACGGAAAGACCTTCGTGAGCGACCCGATCGCGCTGAACCCATATAATCGTGATACATGTTAAACATAATACATACCACATGCGCTTCCATTGACACACATAAGCCTCCATTGAATGTCCAAACGCGCTCAGCAGCCGCCGTGAAATAATCGGATTCAACGGCGGGGACGTCCGTGACATGCAAAAAGTCGCATGAGGCTGCATACTGGTCGGAGTTCCCTTGCATCCGGTCCAGTAGGTTATAAGTGTAAGCCAGCAACCCTGGGCGGTTGGACAACCCCAAAAAATGTGATCCAAAGTCTCTCTTTTGCCCGCGACAGACCGAAGGTGTTCGATCGCATTCCGGTCAAAAAGCGGAGGGTCCGACTTATCTTAGAAACGTTTCTAGTGAAGCTCAATCGAAAGCGGTATTTTCTTTACCCTTTTGTGTATATATTAAACAAGGTTAATGGATAGCCTCATCGTAACGGTGTTTTTTAGGCGAACACTGGTGTTTTTTTACGATTCCCCGGCCGAAGGCCGTCCGATGCTGGCGCGAAAGAAACGCAAACGTGAAACTTGACATTTGCAAAACCACAAAAACAAGATACAATCGATACCGGTATTGTCGAAACGACCGGTGTCGCCCTGTTTCTGTACAACGAAAAACGATCCACATGTGCGTCAAGGCGGCAGTCCGTTGGCTACATTTTGATGGACAGTCGATCCTCCACATTTCGGACTCCTTCTTTCGATGCTGTCCATCTATTGCGTGGACCTCAACGGGTCGTTCCTATCACAAGCGCAATGCACGCAACTTCTCGTTCTTCAAGGTACATCTCGACTAACGTGTTGTACCTTCGCGTCTCGATCGCGCTACTTACTTGTTCCTGATATGTACTATGTCGCTACGAATAGGATCGCAGCTCGTACTGCTGTTATTATGCATGAATCGGGTGCTGCACCTCGCAAGGAAATCAATTGGAACCTCAAGTAGCTGGAACGAGGTCGATGTGATGCTACTGGTGATGCAGTCAGTGGTCGTAGCTGCAGCCATGGTCTCTTCCGTGGAAATTGCCAGAGCAGCTACACTGTACCCTTTGTCTGCATCGTTTGTAGTCGGTGCCAGTGTTGCTGCGGCAATGTGGTTCTTTTACGCTGTACAGAATGTGTACGAGTTTTTGCAACACGAGGCGAGCTGCAAGCTTGTCACGCTCTTTGTCGTGCTGTGTGCCGTCGAGGAGTTGGTGAAGAACATGGGGACGTCTCAGTTAGAGGTTCAAATGATGGTGCTAGTGCGTTACAAGGCTATAATCTCGATCGTGGTGGCAGGCCTCGCTGTAGTCCGGACTTTGATGTGTCGACAAAGAGGAAAAAGAGCGAACGGCGAAAACGCTGACCAGGGCTTGCAAGCTACGAAGACGGCGATGGAAAGTCCATTAGACCGCGTGGGCTGGTTGTCGCAGTTGTCGTTAAGCTGGATCTCTCCGACGATTGCGCTAGGTAAGGCGCGTAGACTCGAGATGGACGATATCCCGAATCTTCCAGCGCAGGATAAGACGTCTGTCGCTGCAAGCAAGTTCAAAAAGGAGCTACAGCATGAATTCTCGTCGTATCGACCTTCGAAGCGATCGTTCTTGCGCGTGGCATGGCGCTTGTATGGTACAGATGTGATCCTATTCGCTGTCTGGTCTACCATGAACAAAGCCGTTGGATTAGTGAGTCCACTCTTGCTGAAGCTCTTTTTGGACTGGGCTGCTGCGTCGAACTCGTCATTTTCGACGGGTTATTACCTGGCTGCAGCTATGATGGCTCGGTCTGTCATATCAGCCGTGTCCGGTACGCAATTCAATCTCGCTTGGAAAAGGTTTGATCTGAGAGTGCGAGCTGGCTTAGTATCTGCGATCTATGCACGGACGCTACAGCTATCGGGAGAAAGCAAACGTCAGGCCGGAGGTCTCGGCCACATCACGAATCTGATCTCAGTTGACGTTGGCCGCATCGTTAGCATACCGGGCACAATATTTGACATGGTGCTTATCCCGGTGGAGATAGCAGTGGCGTTTGTCTTGCTGAGCAAGGCCGTCTCTGTTTCGTTTGTCGCGGGCGTTGCAGTACTGGCTATCATGCTTCCACTTCAGACAGCTCTGGGACGAAAGATCCAGCATGTCACGGCAGACATGATGCGTTTTCGTGACGAACGAGTGGGCCTCGTCGCGGAGAGTCTCAAAGCCATCCGCACACTCAAACTGCTAGGATGGGTCACAGCGCGTCTCGATATGATGAGCAAGAGCCGGTCACTCGAATTGGGGAGGCTGCGAGTGCGCAAGTACTTGGACGCTTTCTGTGTCTTCTTCTGGGCATCGACGCCCGTGATCGTGCAAGTCTCAGTCTTTGCTGCTGCGGTTTTTTCCGGACGAGACATATCAGCTGCAGATGCGTTCACTGCCATAGCACTGCTAGATCGTCTTGTATTTCCCATGAACTATCTCCCGTGGATTGTCAATTCCTTTCTCGAAGCAAGGGTGTCTGCTCTACGTATCCGGGGCTTCCTTTTCGACAAAGAAGACAATGCGTGTACTGCAGAAGGCCTCAGCAGAAGTCATCAACCTCAGTCCGCTGTTTCTCCGACCGGAGAGGCAAACAAGTACGTTGTGAGTATCCGTGACTGCGAGTTTGGATGGGGCGGGACCAAAACCAGCGTCGTAGAAGCTGAAGACAGTGATGTATTCACCGCCGACACGCCTTTGTTGGTGGAAGGATCCGCACCATCATCTTCAGTTGAGCCTGCTTCTCATCATTTCGCCTTACGCATTGCAGAACTCGAATTGCAACGAGGATCGACGTACGTGGTATGTGGCCCCGTAGGTGCGGGCAAGTCATCCCTTTTACTCGCGCTGCTTGACCAAATGCCGAAGCAGAGCAACCCGGCTGGTGTTTACAGGCGAGAACAATCGTTGCGCTGCGCGTATTCTCCGCAAAGTCCATGGCTGTTCCGTGGAAATGTGTACTCAAATATTACTTTGTGTAGTGAAAGCGACGCGGACTGTGGCGAAGGAGAAAATGGCGCTGACTCGGACCGGGTCGAGCGTGTTCTTCGCATTTGTGAGCTCGATGTGGATCTTCGCCATATGAAGCCGCCGTATAACGTGGCTGAGAGCGGCAACAATTTTAGTGGTGGTCAGCGTGCCCGAATCAACCTCGCCCGCGCCCTCTATCAGCGAGCGGACCTCTACTTGTTGGACGACCCCTTCAGTGGCTTGGATGCGACTACTGCAAGCAAAGTGATAACAAACTGCTTCACGTCAAGCTCCAGTATCTTTCCTCCGAATGCGACTGTGGTCGTTGTGACGCATTCGCTTCATCTTCTGTCACTGCTACCAACCGATGTGCGTGTTGTCGTCATGGATGAAGGCTGCATTGTTGAGCAGGGGACTTGCGACGCATTGAAAGCGCAAGATCCACCTAGTCACTTGACGACCTTACTGAAGCAATCACCGAGCAATGAGACGTTTGATGGCAGTGCAAGTTGCGTACCACCGGCAGCGACGATAGAAGAGAACGAGCATACTGGAAGCGTGGATGATGTGGCAGAGGATGAATCGACTTCGATGGAGGAAGACGATGAAGGCCGTGAATCTGGCGTCGTGGGCTGGCACATTTGGAAAGCGTACTCGTTGGATGTCGGTTGGGCGCTTTCGGCAATCATCATGCTGTTTGTCGTAGGTATGCAAATATCTCGGAACTCGCTGGACTGGTGGATTGCAGTATACACGAACGGCAGGCACTCGATCACGCCGCGAGAGTTTGCGATGATACTACTGTACATTGCGGGAACGAACATAGTTTTCGTGTTCTTTCGCTCATTTCTTTTCGCGTATGGAGGCTTACGCGCAGCACGTGCAACGTATCACAAGCTCATACAAAGCGTATTCGCTGCCTCACTACGGTTCTTCGAGCAGACGCCTGTTGGACGTGTGCTAAACAGACTGAGCGGAGACACGTATGCCGTCGATGAATCGCTGCCATTCACTCTCAACATTTTCCTGAAGGACGCGGCAGACGTGGTGGGCGCACTGGTCATTCTCTTTTATGGCAACCGCTTCGTGGTGTTGCTGCTCGTCCCATTGATCCTCGTGTACTTCCACTTACAGCGTGACTATCGCCCAAGTTCGCGTCACCTCAAGAGACTGGATGCAACGACGCAGTCATCCCTGCTGGCAACGATTACAGACACGTTGAATGGCCTCACCATTATCCGCGCCGCAGGCAGACAACGGCAGTACTACCTCGTCTACGAAGCGCGCTTGAATCACAATCAGCGAGTTGCCTTCCTCAGCTCGACAACCAATGCGTGGTTCGGTCTACGTCTCGACATGCTGGGTGTCTGCGTGACATCGTTCGTTGTCGTCTTTGCCGTGGCGGACTTCGGCCTCACAGGCGAAGCGAACCCCGGTATTCTTGGACTGACGCTCACGTACGCACTTCCCATTGTAGGAAAACTGAACGCCATCCTCAATAGCTTCGTTCATACGGAGCGTCAGATGATCGCAGTTGAACGCGTCAAAGAGTACACAGAACTCGAGTCTGAGGAAGATATCGTTGGCGTCGGAAGTACCGCAAAAGCCCGTGATGTGCCACATTCCTGGCCTGCAGCAGGACATATCTCGATTGTGGCTCTCACAGTCACGTATGCTACGCCCGCAAACGATATCAGGCACCGGAACACGTTTGGTAGCACTGACATCGCTAGCTCGCGTGTAGTCGCTCCAGCTCTCAACCACGTCACGTGCGACATTCCGGCAGGGCAGAAGCTCGGTATCTGCGGACGCACGGGTGCTGGAAAGTCGACGCTGCTCAATACTCTGTTTCGAGCTGTTCCGTGGGAACGCAGTGGAAGTATCCGGATCGACAACTTGCCATTAGACTCGATTCGACTTCAAGATATACGGTCACGGCTTACCTACATCCCGCAAGATGTGGTTCTGTTCTCGGGAACAGTGCGCTCCAATCTAGATCCTGACGGAGTGCTTGGCGACGAGAGACTTTGGACGGTATTGCGTAAGTGTGGAGGACTTGCGACTGCTGTTGCCAAGCTCGATCGTGGTCTCGATACTGTTATCGAAGGTGGTGACAACGAACACGCGGTGTTCAGCCAAGGACAAGCTCAGCTGCTTTGCATTGCAAGGGCGTTGTTGCGTCCGTCCAAAGTGCTCTGCATCGATGAGGCTACTGCATCACTCGATTGCGAGACTGAGCGAGTTATTTCCGAGGTAAGCTTGTCACGCTCACTTTTGCTATGACAGTACTAATCGATGCTTTTGCATGGCAGACGATCGCATCGGAGTTCTCGACGTCGACGGTGATAATGGTTGCCCATCGTGTACAAACAATCATGCAATGTGACCGGGTGCTCTTGCTTGACAGTGGCTGCCTCGTTGAAAGTGGCGACCCGAAGGAACTCGTGCGAAACCCTCAGTCTCTATTGTCCCGTTTGGTGGACTCCAGCACGGGCGAGTCTTTGTTGCCATTGTAAAAGGGCACAGTCTCGATTCCGTGTCCACTTCTCGACTGTAATGCTCAAACGAGGTATCACATCAGCTGCTTTTTCGCTCCAGTTGTCCATCAGCGTGCCTCAATCACATAGTATTCGTATCTGGACAATGTCACCTCTTCTCTACTTCATGAGGAGCATCGCCAGCATTGTGCCAGCAAATGTCGGAACATCAATTGCACTTTTTTCAGCGTGGAGCAGATCATCATCCAAGGCATCAAATTGAGCTGCTCTCGTATATCTGTCAAGCCACTTTTCGACAGGTACACCCAATCTGAAAGTCCGAGTCGTCTGTCTTGCCATAATCTGTTTGGCAGCTTTAAAACAGCTACTGCGTGCTCGAGCATATGAGTCGTAGCAGAGTCGGGCAGCTCATTTGTCAGCAACGAGTAACGATTTTAAGCTTCGAGTACCGTCTTCTTCCATGAAGTTGTCCACCATGAAGTTGTTACCTCCGCAAGGCTATCGAAGACGGCGTAGTGGTCGGATGGACAAAAGGGTCAAAGAGGCTGCTACTTGACATTGCCGATCTTTGGGTCATGCACGATATGCGATAGAGCATTGCCATTGATAAGGATGCGATGTCGAGCCAATGCATGTTTTCAAGTATCTTTCTGTAGGAAGAGTGCTGCTGCAAAGTGCGGTGTTTCTCGGGTTTGAAATTGCAAAACTCGAGCTTGGCATAGCAAGAATACCTCTTTCGTCTCGTACGCCTGTATCCTGATGCGCTTTTTTCCTGATGCGCTTTTTGTGCGGCATGTGCGTTTTTCTATCTGCCGGACAAATTATTGGCGCGATGCACGACAGCAGCGCATTCAGAAACGTTTCTATACTCCCGAGTCTACAAAATATCCAAAACGACTCCATGTGTCCTATTTACCAGCTCTCTCCTTCTGCTCTTTTTTTACAGCAAGTGTCGTTGTGGTATTGTACGGTATCTCTCTCACTAACGTCTAAGTCGCTTGGATTGCAACTTAGCTCCGACTCAAAATGGAGTTCTTACGCCGTCTTAGTGACCGTCACGAGAAGCTCAAGAAGAAGATCCACGCCACACGCATTCCTCTTTCTCGAAACGGTCAGCGTGTCATGGGCGTCGTGTACTTCACGGTGCCCATTATTGGCGGCTATTACGTCATGAAGTGGGCGGAGCGTCGTGCGGACGCTAATTTCCAGCGCGAGGTACACCCTATTTCTGAAACCTGCTCACGTTCTGAGTACTTAATGGAGGAAATGCTGCAGGAAAGCGACATTCGACGAGCTGCGGGCAGCAATGCCAAGTATATCGAACAACAGAACGAACAACTGAAGAAGATGCTGCACGAGCAGCAGCAGCAGCAGTAAGAGATTCGTGCTTGCCGCTGTTGATTCACTTGGCTTTGTGAAAGAAAAAGAGATAATCGTATGAGTACATTTGCCTTAATCGTTTCGGTACCGACAACCAGTCGTCGATGTGCTCGAACGATACATGGAACCGATGTCCGCCCACCGCTCTTCAAAGCATCGATAGGCTACGATGAGATGCCACTTTTTGGCACTGTCGTGAACTGATCCCGAGCTACGGGGATAAACTGTAGCGTTCGAGATGAATAGATGTGTTGATGAGTCGAGTCGATTGTGCTATGTAATGCGCTCTTCTTCTTTTTTTCTTCTGCTTTTTCTTACGACATTCAACTACTTTGCGTTTGTCTCGACAGTAGGGCAAGTAAAGAAGGTATGATGTTCGCATGTTATGCAAAGACTTGTGGACGCTACAGATACCTCAAATATATATGTGTGTGTGTGTGACTCTAGTAGCTCTTTCGCCTTATGCTCTATCCAGCACAGTTCGCTCACTCTCGGCTCTTACCGCCTAGCGCGCAATGGCTCAAACGCGTCTTCCTTGGCAACTTTCAGCTGAAGCTATCGACCACTACATTGTCATAGCGCAGATAGAAGCATCGATAGTGCCAGTTAACACCAGAACTTCAAGCAAAATATAGGCGGCCATGTGGTCAAAGTTTCGGGGGTTCTTGACGTTGTCATTCCACCGCGAATGCCTCTGTCACAATGATACCACAGTTGACAGAAACCAAGCAGCAAGTCGCCTACACCAGTGATATGATGGCGAGTATTGTAGCACTGCGATAGCCGACGTAGTGTGAGGTTCTCACTTGGAGACCATGGCATGTCATAAACGTCACTGTCAGTTGTTACCTAAACACACATGTGCAAACCTGGCCTCATTCGCACTACAGCAGGCGACTATCTGTCCAAGTTTCGTCCATCGAGTGAGTGTAAGGATGCCGGACACACCCAAGTGAGTCCAAACATTGACGTGGGTAACAACCGGTCGAGGAAAGAGCTTCTGTGCGCGCACGCAGACCTTTCGCCAAAACGAGGGCCCCAGACGACGAAAAGACGGTAGTGGTGATACTTATGGTGCCAGACTGCCGACACTTGTAGCGAAGAAAGAAAAATACGACGACATTGCAACGATCGAGAGCGGTGCGGTGATGGAGGGACTGGCGGTGCATATGGCAATATGTACAGAGTGGGGAGAAATGGTAAGCGCACATACACTGCGAAGGAGGGATCCATCACGTTGTTGCAGCGCAATATATCTGCGATCTATAAACGGTGAGCACCATATTGAGGGCATGCGCATGGCGATCTATGAACGGTTTGTAGTTTACAATTCGTCAACACTGTCTTTGCGAAGGAGCCGCTCGCGCGACATCAAATCAGTGATCACGTCATAGGCGCAGTAAAAGTGGGTGGAGTCTTACGCCATGTCACAAGACTCGCAGATCGGTGTTTGGATCGTCGACGATCTGATTAGCGCCAAGTCGTCAGTCAACCAGATGTGATCCACAGCTACAGCTGATCGTTTCAAGAAGATAGAGGCAGCAAATTGAAGTCATTGGAAGTGACGTTTGCTGGATAGTGGGGGGAAAGCAGTGGCAAAGGTTACATCGTCATCGATCTTGGCACAGAATAATCGACAGTGATTGTCGTTGATGCGACGGGTGCTTGTGCCAGCCACGACACCGAGTTGTCAGCAAGCCACCTGGCTATGTTTTTGCGCCGGAAGAAGTACATTGCACAGTTGAGGTCTGTGGCTGAGCACTAATATCCGTTTATCTATCGTCACATCTATCGTCACATCTATCGTCACATCTATCGTGACATCTATTTTATCGGTGCTTTTTCGATGTAGCACTGTTTCCCGATTTCGTTGTGTGTGCATGTGGTCCACATACTATCCGTGGTCGAGTGGGCGACCGTCCTTCCCTCAACTTGCAACCCCGCGGTTACAGGATAGTGACGACCAAACACAGCAGGAACTCGCGACGGAGTGTCCCCTCTCTCTTCCTCCATCTCTCGCTGACTCACTGTTCACGCACATGGCATCAACGAAACCTGCCGGCCAAGCAGCAGTGCCTCGCAAAGGCAGCAACAACGCTAGCGTGACCAAGAGCCACCACAAGAAGAAGAAGAAGACGCCGCTGTCGTCGTCACCGTCGTCGTCCAAGGGCAACAGTCCCGGCAACGAGACCCCTGTGCCCGTCGATCCGCGACCGGTGGATCCGCCCCCTGTCTCTGGTGCATGGGGCAAGCCCGACCCCTTGGCAACGAGCGTGCCGCCCCCAGGGTTTGCGTCCAGTCACGTCGTGGACTCGATCCATGCGAACTTTAGTGGTACGGCGTATACTGTTGTGTATGCACACACCCTTGCAGCGGTCCAACTTGACGCGTTGGCCCGTCTCTTGTCGTGTCGTCGTCATGTCGTGAGTCCGCATTGTAATTGACCTTTGTGTGTGTGTGTGAATGTCGAATGTTTCCTTTCCGCTTTCCCCTTCCCCTGTTTCCCTTGCTGCGCCAGACGCCCACGTGCGCCTTCTCCGCCACCGCGCGCTGTTCACGTTCCGCTTCTTAGTCGGCAAAGCCGTCGAGCTGCGCCTCGTGGCGCCCGACGAGCGCTACGCCGGCATCTTGGACTGCATCGACCCCGACGACTTTTCCGTCGTGCTCAAGAACGCCCGGCGGCTCGCGAGCCCCCGCAGCAGCGCAGGCGCAAAGCCGTTTGCCGATGGCAGTACAGTGGTCTTTCGGCGCCACCAGCTCGCGCATGTGGTTGCAGACGGGGCGATCGACGACGCCGACAGCTGCCGGTTCGCTGTTGCCTCAAGTGGCTCGTCTGCGGCGGCTGCGGCGGCTGGTGGCGCGTTCCGCACGGACACGGAAATCAGCGGCACGTCACGAGAGCATCTCATTGGTCGACAGCTCGAAGCAGCGAGTTCCTGGCTCGACCCGGCGCTCGACACGGACGCGCTCGAGGACAGTGCGACGGCGTCGGCGCTCGGGGACGCGCGACAGAGCGCCGGGCCGCGCAAGACGGGCGCGTGGGACCAGTTTGAAGCCAACGAGAAGCTCTTTGGCGTCGTGTCGACGTACGACGAGTCGATGTACACGACGACGTTGGACAAGTCGAAGATCTCGAGCGCACAGGCGCGCGCGGCCGCGACGCTCGCGCAGGAAATTGAGCAGCAGACGGCCGAAGGGAACTTTCACTTGCAGGAGGAGCGCGGACAGTGGGGACGGGGCGGACCGCGCGCGACGGACGTGGACGAAGAGACGCGGTACAGCTCTGTGGACCGCCGAGGCGCTCGGGCGGCACGTGGCGGCGGAAATGTGTACGTGCCGCCAGCGCTGCGGCACGCGCAGCATGCAGCGAGTGGCGACAAGTTGCACGACTTGACAGGTGCTGCAAAGGGTACTGGTGCAGTACCGACTGGTACGGCAAAGACAGTGGCGTCGTCAACTCCAGAGGCGGTGTCGTCTGCTCCTGCAGTCGCTGATGCTGCAGTCGCTGTTGCTGCTGCTGCACCCAAACCACTTTCGTTCAGTGAGGCTGTTACGGGTCGATCGGCACCCGCTCCGGCTCCTGCTGCAGCTCCTGCCACTGCCACTGCTGCAAGACGTGTGGCTGCGTCTGCGGGTGTCTCGAAGGACGAGCCAGAAGAGAAGAAAGAGAGTGCTGCTGATTTGCAGAATGCAGCAGTGTCGGCACAACAGGTGCACAACAAGGACAACAAGTCGGTTGCTGGCAAGTTGAAGGGGGCTGCTACAAAGAAGAAGGATGTAGTCGGTGGAAATGAAAAGAAGACAGAGACGAAGGCGGGTCAGAAGTCTGAGAGCAAACCAGTGTCCTCATGCTCGACGCCGACGACTGTGACGACGACATCGACCAGCACTACGACGACCGCACGTAAGGCAGCAAAAGATGAGACATCTAAGGCTGCATCGAAGAAGGGGTTAAATTTGAATGCCAAGGAGTTCAGGCTGAGCGCCTCAGCAGCCGAGTTCACGCCCAGTTTTTCAGTGGCTCCGGTTATGAGAGGAGGACAGGCGGTGTCGCCTTACCACCACGGCTCCCCAGGCACGATGCCTTACCCGCATCCTGCTATGGGTTACCCACCGCCGATGCAAGAGGAGTGGATGTACGACGGCGCTATGGGCGTAGAAGAAGGCGGTGAGATGGGCATGCCTCCGTATATGCAGGGTGGCTATGCGATGCCGATGGGACCCAACGGAGTTCCTATGATGTACTCTCCGATAATGCCTCAGCAGAACATGCGCATGATGGGCGGCCAACGCGGCAACTACGGCGGTTATCAGCAGCAGGTATACACCCCTCGGGGGTACTGCTCGCCGCCAAATGGTGGCATTCCTGGAGCTGGCGTACCATTTGCCGGCGGGTCTAGCATGCCTGGAGGTACAGGTCCTCAACCCCCTCTTCCTCCGTCGTCTAGTAGTGGCAACGCTCCCAGCGAAGCTTCTACTGCTGGTGCTCCAGCTCCCGCCGCGTCTGCGATGAACTCAGAAGTACATCCTGCTGTTGCGAGGTCAAAGCAGGTGCCGTCAGCTTCCAAGAAAAAGTAGATGCGATTTCTAGTAAGGCCGTACGCAGACTGGTCGTGTGGCAAGGCGTGAAATCAAGGAAGTGGATGATGGAGAGAAGGTGTTGGGCTTGTGTAAGTCTTGTCTTGCGTGGAGGTTGGTGCGGGGGACTCTTGTGTCGTTGTTACCCTTGTAGTGCAGGCGTGTGTATTGTTTTGATTGGAGCCAACCGAGACGTCTTGCGGAATCAGAAGGGCTTGGCGCCAGCGTTTCGTAACAAAAGTGGAGGATTATCGGGTATGGTCGGGAAGCTGCAGTACCCCATCGGTCTGCGTATATAGTGCACTCGATGGCATGGCGTTGTCAATACTGACGTCTTGGCGTGACATGGTGACGGACATCTGGAATGCTCACGCTCTCCTGCATAGTGTGTCATATCGTTCGCAAGCACACCACCGTCCAAAGAAAAATATGAAGATAATTTGCTGCGCGCGAGGTGGCATAAGGCGCCGGGTATGGCCCTTCACCATTGTGAGAAGTGGTCGTCGACAAGACTTTCTGGAAGCTTATTTCACAAAGCAACACATGCGGTCGATTGTGTTCGTCAGCTTGGGACTTGCGATCCGGAGTGTCGGGCACGCCTAGGACGGTGGCGCTGGATCGTTGCCTTTACTTCGCGCAGTGTCTCTGCAGCTCGACTAGCAAGACGTATCGGGACTTCACGGTGGTCAAGAGTACGACGGCATATGCTGCAGAAGTAAGATTGAGGCTGACCGACATCGATTGATGATTCCAAGCCAACCCCTGTTCGCACAAACGTCATGGTTTGCGGCGAGAGTTGAGATACTCTCAGTGACTTACCACCAAACCAAGAACCGAGGCCATGACTGACGTGAAGTGAGTGATAGCCACGGAAGTAAGAGCTGATGTGGGCTGGGTGCTGCTCAGTCATCACCACACAGGCACGTTTACCATGGAAGCGAGCGACACTCGTATACACGAGTGTAAGCTCTACTAGCTCCCCATGTTGCCACTCTTACGCTTGAAAGCTGATGAAATTGCCGAAGACAACGAACGGCTGATTCTGGCAATGAAGACGTTGAACGCGAGGGAAACGTCGGTATGATGCGTGGAGGAATGATATGGAGTTTGCTGTGAGCAAAAAGAAGATGTGAGAATGACAGCGAAAGAGCAGAGTGCACATGCCGATTGCTGCATGTTTGGCGCGTGAACGCAAGCAATTCTTGGCTGTTTAGTGCATCTGTGGTTCTGCAGCGCACGTTGCCGATGCTTCCACGTCTCGATTTTGTCCATTCAGCAAGAATGGCAGCTGATGTGTAAGCTGGAAATGTGAGGTGCCTTCTGTGTTTGTCATGACTGTATCGTGTGACGACAAAGGCAAAAGCGAGTGAAAGCTGCGCAGGAAGTCGTGTGTATCCGAATCAACGATCGCTGTCGCTGACGCTATGTACTCCGTACGGACGCTATGCACTGCTGTCGTGACTTTGTTTGGCACATGTCGATGTCTGATTTGTACCGGACTTTTCGAATGCATTGACTGAGACCGGCCGTTGTACTCAACCGAGCAAGTTACAAGCGCTACGCTGTTCGCCAACGACATGTCACTGGTATCACTGCATGTTGCTTACAAAGTCGCCACGCTCCTGCCATACGACTATCGCAGCTGTTATGATTCGATCAATAGGAACATGAGGCTGCATCATGACGCCCTTACTGCCGTTCCAGCGACATTGGCAGCGAACTATGGCGACGCTGTATACTACTGCAGCGTCATGTTCGCTGTATGAGAAAAGCTTTCTTGGGTTCTCACTGATCCAACTGCTTCGTATCCCAAATCTGGGAATCGCAACGACGAACGTGTCGTGGTCGTACTGAGGAAACTCTCGTTGGACGCAACACAAAGTGTATTGCAGCCGACTCTGCTGTACACGATACACCTTTATCGGCACTATCTTCACCGTCAAGATAATGCGCTCATTCCTACAGCTCGCATTGATTTCCTGCGATGAGAGAAACGCCTGCGTCTATCATTTGCTCAATTGTCGACGGCAGCACTGGTCGACCATGGTCGGAGTTTCACCCGCACTTTGCAGTGGGAAGTGTGAGACTGAATGCATCTAGAGCTGGAGTGCGAGAGCGCAAGATTCTGGAAGCGTTTTCTATCTTGCCAATACTCGGCGCTCGCTAGAGTGCAACACGGGTCATCGGGGTTTTCCCTTGTCCGGGAATAGCTTTTACGGAGAGATAGATGGAGAACGGAATTTGGATCTCGGCGTCACCTGCCTACATGCGCGCTTGCCTGCATGCGCAGCCGCTTGCACGCGTGACAGCAACTATTGGCCTTACGACAAAAGCCATCATCGATGATACTTTTCTGTATCACGCAGCAAGCAAAACGGGATGAGGCAAGTATCGTGTTTAGCTTACACTTTTCCATTCCCTCGCGGATCACTGCGAAGCACGTCGGGGAAATGATGGGCCTGGACCGGCGACATAGAACGAAGCTATGCAAAAGAGGATACGAGATACAGCAAAGGTGATCGTACTATTGCTGCAGCAAGACGACCAGTACATGGCAAAGTACAGGTGATGTCGAGATGCGATGTATGATTTCCACATACTGCCGACGTGTACAACAGGCTCAACTATACGTGTGTTTGTGCTTGCAATTCTCATGCATGTCAACTTCACTGCTACAATCACATTGTGCAGTTCCGCAGATGGAGTCTGTAGCTTTGTGCAGCACGTTTGAGAAAGGATACGAAGGGCACGAACCATGTGCTTACAAACGCGGCGACTGATGAGCACGATGAGAGATCGATGATGTTCGGGTCTTTTTACAACAAATCGTTGTCTTTCGTGACTATTCGACACGCTCGACATCTCAGGCTGTAGCTTGGCAGGAATGACAGCCGCTTGTCCAGCTATGCAAGAGGCCCGACTTTCCACGACGGTCGTTTGAGTTGCGGTAGCTAACACAACACCAGCGTGGTGCCAATCTTCGTCCCAAGGAGGCTGCACGTGTTCCAAAATTACAAGTCTGACCCAATCGTGTTCAGCCGGGCACGACACTCGAGCTATAGCGACTTGGATATGCCTTCGTGCTACCATGACTGCAGAGGACCCGTGTCCACGTCAACAATTGTATCGCAAACGACGTCACTGCATCTCGGGCAACCGTGGTCGTGGGTGGTGCACCACTGCCAAGTCTTCGCTCGACCGTTTGCCTCCTCCCTCGTATGAACCAGACTCTTTGCATTGTCGTTGCTCGAGAAACCATCGACGGTAGCAGTGGCATCAAGAGGCTTGTCGGCACCCGCATCCGCATGTCTTTGTATCTCTGTTGCTTTGAATTTGATCCGTCCAACTTGTCCGATGCGATCCGCTCGATATCCTATGGTCCAAGCCCTTTCGAGGTGACTTGTTTGGCTTGCAAGAACGCAACATCAAGCAGCCGTTGGCTTCGAAACGACACATGCGAGCAAGCAATTCCTACACCGCAAGCGAGTTGACGAAGTCTCGGCATCCGTGTCGTTTTTGCCACTAGCGTTGTGGTCGGAAGCCCTCACTGGCGACGACGCTTTATCTGGCTGCATCTACGTTTTCAGAGCCTTTTGCATCACCTTCATCTTGACCGCTAAGCACGGCAGTCATCATGCCATACCGGATCATCCAGCAACTGAGAAAGGATAGCGTCAACGAGGGCGGCAAATCCTATATCGAGTCGTCTCGATCATCATAGGTGCCCAGGTCTGTGGACGCGGCGAGCAGCGCGAACGCTGGCAACACGGACACGTTTTCCTGTCTTCGTCGAGTCTCGAAAAACACCATTTCTTCTACCGACGGTCGTATCTGGAAGTCGCAGCCACAAACCCATCGATTTGCAAGCCATAAGCACGTTCATCACTAGCTTTAACAGGAGCTGATGATGGACCTGAGTACCGAATTCGACTCTTGATCTGAATTTGACTCTTGATCCGAACACGAGGACGTTGATTCATGGTATCGACAACGTCGTGGTCTCCACGATAAGGCAGTTCGCCACTCAGTCTCCACAATCTGCAATCTCCTTTGTCGCAACTGCAAATGTCGAATCTGGAGCTGGAACACGCGCATAGACGTCGAGAACGACACGAGTGTATCTCCGTGACGGATCGTGGTCCCGCTTTATTCAATGAAGTCTTCCAAGTCAGCAAATGCATCCGCGCCGTCCTCTTCGTTGAGGAACGCATCAATGACAGGGTGACGACTCCGCAGGCGCTTCTTCCTTTTTCTCACAATCGGGACAACGCCAAGCAGGCGCTGTCGAGCCTTTGCCTTTCCACGACGAGCGTGTGACAAGCTGGTCGGCGCAATTCTGTCCTTTACCATCGTCATAAGCGACTTTAGCCGTTCTTTTGTTGAACTGGGTATCGACGTCTGCAATGCATTGTCAAACGTAAGTGGGTGAAACGAGCACATTCAATATCAACGCAAGGCGCATACCTCTTTCAGCCAAGTCTGCACGATGCCCGGAGCTTGCAAGAGAAATATGTCCGTCTTGAGCAAGGTCGCAGATATCTACCCGCCGGGTCCAAAACGCATGTGAGTAGTGAACCAAAGAAAGCACAACGTCAGCTCAGATCCGACAACAGAGCGCACCTTGGTTTTTGTTTCTGCATCTTCACTTGCATCCTTGATGCCACCAGCCCATATTCGGTTTCTCAATGCTGATGTCACCGAAAACTCATAAATACAGATCGCAGTGTCGTGCCACTTGACTTCCAGGTCATCCCTTCTTCGCTGCAACGCCCCGATGGCTTTACCAATGCGCAGTCCCAGTTCAATCATGTGAAGAACCTTCAGCAACACTTTTCGAGTCTCCCACAAAAAGTCAACATTGGCGCTTATCGCTTTGTTCACTACCTCGTGAATGCGGATGTAACCCAACAATGCCTCGTGATCGATAGCCTCTTTGTCCTTGTTCTTGGTGGTCACAAGATGGAGCAACGTGGATTGAGATTGTTCGAGCGCGGCCAAAACGGTACCAATGGCGATGCGTTGAGTTGCATGCGACTGGAGATGTGGAACACAATCCAGGCTGAATGGGGCACATCGTTGGGACGTGATGGTATTTGTCCGTGAGTCGGTGGTTGCGTCGATGTCGTCGGACAAGTCGGAGTCAGATGGGTAGCTGGCGTCGAAATCAGAGTCAGAATCTACTCCCGAGCTGTACGGAGACCGGACACCTGGTCTTTGTCGCAAACGCTTCCGGCACGCTGATGCTCCACTGCGCCTCTCCGTTTTGGCCAGAGCTGGTCTGCGTTGATGACAGTCCTCGCTCGTTGATATCTCCACATGTTCCGCTGAATGAATCCCGCACGTCTGAATGAATGCTTCAATCTTGCTTTCCAGTGTCACAAACGTCTGAATGTGGAGCGCCAGGTGAGTTGGGAGGCATATGTTCATGAGAAGTCGAAGCAGTCGTGCATTGTACACTACGTTCTCGCACAAGATGTCGTACGCGAGCGATGAAAGCTTACACAACTCTACGCAGTCCACAGCGGGATCCACCATCTCTGCAGTATTGTCCAGTAGACGTTTGCATAGTGAGGCGCACGACACGCTCGTTTTAGTAAACCCGTCCAGCTGAACATAGTCCTTCACGTCATCCAAAAAGTAGCCTGATAAACAAGCAAAACTGTTTCGTTTGCCAGCTTTCTGAACCTCAGTCGGTTCACGAAACCCATTCCACGAAACCTTCAGTAGCATCTGTCCAAGTCGATCGTGTGCTGAACGAAGGCTTGAAGATCTTATCATCATCTCCAGGGTGCGTCCTATAGCTGCACAGACGCGCTCTAGCATCTCCTCTCCACTCTTTGTGTCGAGCAGGACAACCGCTTTTGCGCATTTTCCAGGTGCTACAAGCTGCCGCGCAAATGCTGGAAATTTGGCAGAAATGGAGTCCGCATAGAGAGAAAGGCGTAGCCTACAAACAGACTTCTCCTCTCCCTCGCCTCTTATCTTCACGCCGTCAGCGCCGGATTTATTCGACACTGGCACAACGTAATCGCGAATATGTATGTACACGCGCAGTAGCAGTTCAAGAATGGAAGCACCTTCGTCCAGGTCGTCAGCTTCACTATTTCTAGAACAGGATGCTCCGAAGAGGTCATCATCGCCGGAAGTGGTACGACAGCAGGAGTCCAAAGCGAAGAGAACGGCGTCGAATGACATCGCACTGGGTCGTTCATGCTCCGCTGAGTTCGACGTAAGCGTTTCTTGGACTGTTCCCTTGATAGCAGTCAACATGCGAAGCATAGCGGGTTGTAGCACTCTGTGAAGTCCATCCGATGTCGACTTGACATACTCCTTCGACAAACTCGTTCCCATCCCGTTCGCATGGCGAGAAACAAGTTTCTGTATCATTCGATGTAAACTGAACTCCACCTCCATCAAAGACCAAACCGTGATCCTACAACCATCAGTGTCAAACGTAACCAGGTCCCGGTCGGCTTCATCCCGCTTGCCGAAGTTTCCAGCAGCCAAACTACGCATCAGCAATTCGATGGCAAGATTGCAAACAGCGCAGCCGATATAGACGCGCGCGACAAGCTTCCACCATCCAGTCTTCTCACGCACGTCACCTTGCGCTGGCTGATTCAGCAGCACCTCCGAGTCTTGGCAAAGCCAGTGGAAAAAGTACTTCCAGCTGGAGACCAGGTCGATGAACCACTGTTTGATGTCGCTGTCATTCTCACTGAGACCCTCAATCGGTAATCCCTCAGACGAGACTTTCGACCGGCAAATGCCGTTCTCGAATGCTATCAAGCAAGATAGCAGCTTTTGAAATATCAGCCCAGTTGATGCTGCACCATCCAGACTAGCATTTTGCTGATAAAATGCATCGAGTGCGGTAACACGAAATCGCTGTAACCCCATATCATCGTCGTCGTTCTCATCTGCACTATCTTCCTCTTCTTCGATTCCGTACTCCATGATGCCTGATGTCGTCGGCAGAAGAAACTTGCCAACTTCCTGAGACAAAAATCGATAAAACTTCTCCCACGAGCTTTTGCGCAACAAAATGACAGGTCCTTCAACTATGCCTCCGCGACAGTTAAACACTTGCGCCAAACGTCCAAATGACCACGCTTGTATGTCGCGGGAAGCTATCATACTGTTTATAAGTGCTGAGACAATTTCTTCCTGGAACGTGTAACAAGTCAACCATCATTCTTCATATCATAGAGCCACATATCACGTACTTCTTGCTGTTCATTGAACGGTAGCTGGCGGTCCAGCCACGTACACCACATGTCCACGACATACTGCTGATGCAGCCGATTACCAGTGGACAGCAGTTTCCGCAGAAACACCATCAGGAAGTTATACAAGTCTAGCGCCGTTGTACAATGATTACACGCGGTGTTAGATTCCACCTGACGTATCGTCTGTAGCGGAAGCATACCTTTATACACTGTCGCCAGATTGGATGCGATGAGAAAAAAGTCACGGGCGCTGTCGAACGATCGGTGAAACTGCATGCTGCACGCAATGACATCGACGACGTCAGACCAGGACCAGTCACATTCATCTCAGCTTGTCATCACCTGAGCCAGTCTTGGATCGCGTTAAGGTGCGGAAACAGCTTTGCCGAGTGTGAAACAAACAGTTGTGAAAGTATCTCGCCAGCAATCTGCAAGCAAATCAGCGATAGCACATAAGCTGATCAGGACCCGACGTTCTTTGTTTCACCACGCAAACCGTCAACACCTTGCCTTCCTCTGCGCTGGCTTTTGCGAGCGCTCAAACAAACTACTGAGCACTTCAAAGCGAGCTTCCGGTGCCTGTTACAATCAAAAGAGCAAGTTAACAAAAGCCGAGGACGAGAAATAGACTGCGTACCGTTTCGAATATCGCTTGTAACAGCATCAGCGCTGTTGCAGACTTTGCAGTTGCTGGTTTGTCGCCAGCACAGGTTGTGTTGCTCTGCTCGATCCAATAAAATACGATATCCATCAAGAGCAGCGCCTTCCATTCGCGAGCATGGACCTGCTTGCCGCCAAAATTCAGCACAAGCCCCACTTGATCCAGTACATATTTCTCAAGTGTTTTGCCCCCGCTACGTGACTGTGTCTCCTTTGTCGATGCATAATCCACGAATGCTCTGACATCACTGTGCACTATCAGCCACGCAAGGTGCTCTATCTCTGTAAACACAGACGCTTCGGTTGCAACACGAGAGGACGAGGTACGGTGGTGCAAGATTGGCTTTGACGCCTGTAGAGCGTGAAGAAGCAGGAGGAGATCGCGCCAACCTAATCGGACGTCTGCTGAGCTGCACTGCGGGTCATTACATTGACTGTCAGCATCCTCTGGAACAACGCCTGGTATTCTGCTCGATCGAATGGATTCGCATATAAGCGAAACGATGCATTGGGAATGGCGGAGGCTCTGGAACCAAACAAGCAGATGTAAGTCAACATCTGCAACCGTTTGCGACCAAGACCTCGCCATTTACACACCATTTGCAGATTAAACTCTGCCTCTTGTCGCAACTGCACGGGCAGTTGTTGCAGCAAGTAGCGCGCGACAGCGATCCACTTATGCTCGCCCGTCACACTCGCTACCGTTACGCACTCTCGGATCATAGGGTTCATTGTCTCGCTTGCCATCTCCGTTGACGACGTTACCAGGCGCTCGACAGTTTCCTGATCAACAGCGCAAGCGTTCAGACACCCATAAACGTGAATGAACGAGTCAACGAACAGGAGACTTCATCGCCCCATCTGCTCAGCAGCTTCTCAAGCTCACCTGCAATCCCTGCCAGCTTTCTCTCGACATCAGCGACGCGTCGTCCGCCAGCACATCCAGCAAACTTGGTACTGTACAGCAGTCCCACGGTAACTCCAGCAACCTGGCCAACGTCTACAAGGAACGAGAACAAATGACAGGAACAGTAGACGATACGCTTCTTCAGTCTCCTTTACCACAGCTCCTTTGCCACCACTTGCTGTCATTACGCGCACACGCACCCCACTCTTTCCTTGCTCTCCTCGTGTCTGCAGCTCGCCACAAAGGCCCAAGAAGAACGACACGAGTCCCAGCAACTGTGGCAGCAGCTTGACCTTGTCGTTACTTCTGACCCGATGGCTGCAACAACTGACACTATTGCCGCTGCGCTCGCCACTGCTTTCTCGTCCAATTACTGGCCCATCCGATACTGCAGCGACAACGACTTCCTCTTCCAAGAAGCAAAAGACCGTATCCAGCACTGTGTGTACTTCGTCGAGCAGCGTTTGCCGCTGCACCATGCGACGCGTTGTCTCTGTCTTCTGGAGCTCTTGGAGACGATCCAGTGCGCTCGAGTAGCCCACGCTCACTTCCGTCAGCAGCTGCATACTCTCTAACTCACTCGGACGTCCGCGACGCAGCGCGTGGAGAACATGGGACGCCGTGCGGAGCCGCGTGGTCTCACACTGTACCAAGAGCCGTAGAAGAGGCAGCCAGTCGTCTTGGACCAGCACAACGCTCTTCAAGTGCGGCAGCTGCGGCTGCTGCTGCTTCTCCTTGTGATAACTCGAGAGGCCGTCGAGCAGCTGCGACAACTGCAACGGGCACAATACGGGTGAGCGATCGATACACAGCGTGAGACAGACATCAACGGCGAGCAGTTGCGCACCTCGTGGGGTTCGATGGACGTGAGGTACCGACGCACGGCGTCTCCGTCGGTGACGCTCGCGCGGAGCAGGTCGCGCGCGCTGCTGTCGTGTGCCATTTGGACAAGTGATTGTGGTTCGACGGTGGACCGAAGGTAACGCTGTTTTACGGTCAGCTCAGCGATACGCGGTATTAGGAGTCAGCACTGATATTGCAATAATGACAAGAGCGCTCGCAGCAATATCAACAAGTACAATTGCAAGTCCATCCTGTCAACAGCCACACTGTACCGCCGACAGCAGCAGCAAGTTACTTGATTTTGCATTCCAGCGCATGGACGTATGGACGCGCTAGGCACTAACTAAATGGGGCCGCCGCCGAGAAGACGGTCAACTGCGGCCTGGACGTTGCCTCGCGTGGCTTGTAAAGCGCGAACGTTCTGCTCACGATTGGAAAAGCCCATGTCGCTGAGTTGCGTCAGCTGCGACGCGTACGTCTCTTCTGGATTGCCTACTGGTGCTGCGGGGACGCCTGGCATTGCGCCCGAGCCACTGAACATTGCAAACGGGTTCATCGCTGCGGCGCTGGTCGTACCGGCACTAGCACCACCAGTCGAGCCAAAGTTCATGCCTTCGAGTCTACACGCAACACAAAACGACAACAACGATAGTGAGCATCGCAGCACGTTCCACAGTGTCGAAGAGTCGACCGCGTACCCTGATAGAAGTCCAGAGCCACGCAATTGATTCATTGCGTTTTGCATCTGTGTCATTGCCTGCAGGTTCTGCGGGTTCATGGCTTGGCGCAGAAACTCGGGATTCGACATCATCTGTCGCATCTGCGGATTCGCGCCCATCATAGCTGCCATCTGCGGATTCATGGCCTCCATCTGAGCGACAAATTGCTCTGGATTACTCGCGACTTGGTCCAGCGCTGCTTGAAACAAGGGACTCTGCATCATTTGCGCCATTGCTTCTGGATTACTCCCGAGACCGCCCAAGTTACTCGTTCCTCTCATTCCTCCCATTCCCCCCATGCTAGCCATACCGCCGAGGCCAGCACTCCACGGATTCGCACCAGCTCCAGCAGCGGCACTACCGCTAGTAGACGCAGTAGCACTAGCGCCACCCAAAGTAGCCCATGGATTGGCAGCAGCACCAATGTTCATTGCTGGATTCGACATGGGTGTCTGGGACTGTGTCGCGTTCGTCGTCGAGCTGGCACTGCTGCTTCCACCAGCGACACCTGGCATGGGAAAAGCCGGTCCGCGCGGCGCTGGCGTCCCTCGCGCTGCAGCATCCATCAGTGGCTCCTGCACGTCGTGGTACATGCGTCGCAATGCATTGAACCCCTCCGGATGACTCTCGATGTTCCGTAGCGCCGTGTCTTGGTTGCGCATCATCTCCCGCATCGCAGCAGGGTTGCGCATCGCTTCCATGCTTTGCCGTAGCAGTTCCGGATCGTTCATAATGTGATTCAGCTGCGGGTTCTGCTCCATCAATTGCTGCATGGCCGGATTGCTCTGCATGATCGAGCGCATCACGTCCGGATTGCTCAGGATGTTCTGCATCATGGGCGAGTCCATCATCTGTCGCACCATCTCGGGGTTCTCCATCATCTGCTGCTGCATCTGCTGCATATCTGCAGCTCCTCCTCCTCCTCCATTCCCCATCAAGTTGCCAAACAAATTACCGCCTACCGCGCCGCCAACGCCCGGCATCAATGGAAAATTGAATGGGTTCGCAGCCACAGCAGGAGCAGCAGCAGGAGCAGCAGCAGGAGCAGCAGCAGCAGCAGCAGAGGACTGCATCCGACGCTCCTGTTGTCGGTGTCGTTGTAGCAGCAGTAGCAGCAGTATCGGTCGCTCGCGCATGCGCCGACCCCTTGACAAAGTATATCGTGTCTTCTGCCTGGATACCGTAGCTGGCGAGCGTCTGGTCGTCCTTGAGCACTTTGCCCTTGTAAATGAGACGCTGGAGAGACGTGGGCACCTCCGTGCGCGCCACGAGCGCCTCTTTGCACTGCAGCACAGAGCTCTCGAGCGCCACGTCCACGGCGAACTTGGTCCCGGCCGTCGTCTTCACGTGCAGCGTCACCATCGTCTCGAGTCCCGCGCCGTTCCTCTCCTTCGTGTCTGCCTCTCGTTTGGAGCGCACGCAGAAGTACCGATAGCGTCGGTATGACGGTACCGAGGCTTTCGGTAGAAACCAGTAGACAGTGGATAGGGCAAGCTCACTTGGGTGCCGACGGGCTGTACCCATTGTCAGTTGGGTACACTTGTAGTATACATGTAGCAACATCCAGTGATACACATGGCCAGCGCTGCTGACGACGCCGCTGTCGCTGCAGCAGAGGACGCACCTCCAGCGAAACGCGCCAAAACTATATCAGCAGTAGCATCAGCAGTAGCAGTAGCTGTGCGCACGTGTCAATTCTGTGCCAACAAGAAGCAAGTAGCTGCCAGTTGTGTGAACGTGGCGTGCAAGAAGTGCTGCCTCGCACGCGCTCAGGTGTGCGCGACGCATCCAAAAGGTACGTTGTATACACGTGCGGTCGTGGTGTATAGTCTGCACCCGATAGTCAGTATGTGAGGTCTGAAGTAACAATCGGTTGGCACCACGGGTGCTATTGTTGTTGTGGCTGCAACGTGTCTGTTGGTGTACAGAGGAGGAGAAACCCGAGCCGGAGCCCTCGCGGTCGAAGAAACCCGTGCTCAAGAATGAGTTCCGAGAGCCGAACTTTCACTGTAAGGAGACTGATTGATACGTGCTAAGGAGACTGATCGGCATACGCTGGTTTCGGCACTGTGTGCTGATGAAGCTGCTGTGTGCACTGTGCAGACTATGGCGAGACTGTGACAATCTTTTGTGTGCGGGACTTTTTCGAGAACAAGAAACTGAGCCAGGGCGTGCTCAAGGACCAGGAGCGCACACAGCGAGCGAGTGGCAACGCGCAGGGAGCTCGTCGTCGAAAGAAGAGCGCTCGAGGCTCGAGGATCCAAGAGTCGATTCAGTGTGCATTGGGGAAGAGACCGTCGCCCATAGGCTATCAAGAGGTTGACAACCCCAGTTGAGGTGCAGTAAACGAAACGACGAACACGTTCCTCTTCTGGTTTGCTATTGACATGTGATATGATAACTGGTTGTTCTCCGTTGCTGCTGTTGGCGGTGAGGCGCTGGTCGGTCCATTTCAGAAGTTTACGGACACTATCTTATAGCTGTTTGATGTAGAAGTGGCCATGTGGGAGCAAGTCTGTCCGTCAGTAGCACAGTGACGTCTTCGAACTTGCTGTACGTTACTTCCTACCTTTTGGACCCATTTGTCAGAAGCTGTTCGAAAGGGTCTCGTTGACCCTCGACATTTGACCTTGAGCTTCGGACGCCATGCTGCAACTTGACCATTTGGACGTCTCGTACCACAGTTCGGTCATCTTTTTGCTTCATCTGTAGAAACGTGACATGTGGAGCTGTGTAAACTCACCGGTGTGCTCGACACGTCAGTCCACTTGGAGTAGCAGCCACTTAAGAAGTCTCGCGACCAGCGGCAAGTTGACAATGTGTTTTGCTATTCGCAGTCACGTCGTGGTAGCTGCAGTTAGCATTGCAGCGCCTGATTGCCGACGTTTGTGTGCTGATACGCCTGCGTGTAACCTTCTTGAGATCCGTGCAATTGGCAGCTACTGCAGCTGTGTTGGTTGGGGTGAAGCGACTGACTATGGGTAAGCGAACAGAGCGGCGTCAGAACACAACATGTGACTCGAGGCGGTTGCCAAAACAACGAGGCAGCTCAGAGTCTGGTTCGGATGTTTGCCGAACCCGTACACATTGAAGGCAGAGGGTACCGCTACGTTGTACACGAATGCTGGACGCATCAACATGTCCACTGGATCACGATGTAGGTGGTCGCTGTGATACAATAGATACCCACGGGCACTGCACTAGCACGTTCGTCGAATTCTGCCCGCACTTGTCGATCCAAACGAGACCTGACGACCTGGACTCGACCTTGCTTGGTGATTGCTGTGACTCTTCGTAGTGAAGTTCTTTGCTGACGTCATGTACCGACAATAGTCCTGCCGATCAACGGACCGATGTCGAAATCTGTTTTGCAACGGGTTTCGAACCTTCGCAACCATTCACATCGTGTACAGCAGATGCTTCGTCAGCCATGCATCGTCCTGATCATTTGCAGCGCAGCCAAGCATACTGAGCGCTCGTCGCAGCTTCACACGTTTCGGGTCTTGCCATTTTGTTCAACTGCATGTATGGCCTCAGTGATGGATGCGTCCTTGCAACCTCTTCGATCTCCGCATCCCACGAGCGACTATCGGCAGCGCGCTCGCTAGCCCACGACCAACTTGTGCAAACATGTAGCTAACGATTCGATGCACATTATGGTTTCACCACGATATTTTCAGGTGAATGTCATTTTCGCATCTCATAGCCCGTTGACGTCGGCAAGTAGCTGAACCTTCGAGTGTATTAACACGCTTGACACCAGATAAACGAGGCGAAATGTCCGGCTGGCTGTTGATTCACGCACTGCCTCTTGGGACGCTTTGTCAAAATCCGTCCAAGAATCATCACGTGTCGCCAATACGGCGAACTGTGGCACAGAATAATCATTCAGCCGTCGATTTGATGTGCTTGACGTACCGACTGTTGCAGCAAGCCATCTAGTTAGCTTGTATAACGACTCTCGGTATCAGACAGATTCTTCGCGTGCTGGTCGGTGCGATACAACATACATATTGTGGCTGCTAGCCAAAGGACGAGTCGTCCGTCTATGGCGACTACGTTTCCAACAGGACGAACCCGTACGATTCTAACAAACGACAGTTGCCCGCGTTGTTCTTGACATCCGGAGATCAATCCACGTGTTGAGTCAATCTCGTAATCACGCAGTACTTAGTGTCGTCGTCGCCGGCAGCTATTCCACCATGGCGCAGTAAAGTCAACACCACGCATCGAGCAATTCTTGCTGCAGGTATGTGCAAACCTAACACCTGCAAAATCAGTCCGTGAAGACTGATGTTGCTACTGTTCGGTAAAGCAGACTCTGCCCTTGCGAATAAGGTACTCAGACAAACGACGGACCCGATCCATCGAAACGACAGCTTTCGTCCCATCGTCGAACTCAATATTCATTTCGTGCCGACTGTCTCCACGCGAAATCATCTTCCCCATTTTACCCTCACTGATGAGTCCTTGCACTGATTCCGGATAGCACCACACTAACTCACCAGGATGGATAGTTTCTCCTGCCCGCAGTCGTCTCGGCCATGTCAACACGATCGCGTGCAATTGACCACGATACCCCTTACGATTGCCATAGTTTCGAAACCTGGAATACTGCGCAGCAATTTGTAACGGCAGACTGATGCCGGAAAGACCAGAGACGGGAGCGAGATCGTCTGCAGACACTAGCAACGATGACGATATCGGTGGACGCGCCGGTGGCTCTTCGTCAAGTACTCGTTCACACACTGCACTCCTCTCTCCTTCCTCATGCGTTTTTTCGCGAGCATTGTCGTATTCTGTACCATCTTTTTCTTCTACTGCTTCATCACGTCGGCCGTTTTTCGCATCGTCGTACGCGTTTTGCACTGCTGTTGACAAAGAAGAACAAGATGCCTTCCTTTCTCGTCGGTCGCCTTGATTCTGGTAAGAGAGCTGCAGATCCAGCATAATGGTTGGTCATATGTCCCATCGAGTTGCACGGTAGCATGTCAAACAGTCCAAACCTCTTCTTCCTCCTTCTCCTCGTCCTCGTCCTCCTCCACAGCAGCAACTACGTCCCTGCAGTCAACATCAACTTCAGCGTCCGAAATGGAGCCATCTAGCTGATGCAGTTTCCGCTTAGACCCGAGCTGTCGACAGGCAACAAACACCCCACCAGACTCAGTCCTTCAGCTTCCCGTTCACTTCCAAAGCTCTACAAGCCAACCATTTTAGCAAACACGGACGTTGTCGTCGACGTCGCGCCACTCGGCTGCATGCACAACAGCCAATCGTTATTACAGAACACATACCACCAGCAGATATGTCACCCCCTCTCACGAGTGCCACCTGCAACGCGTACCAATGCTGCGCGTGGTCGACCCACTGCTTTACTCTCCGTAGCACCTTCCAAGCCAGTCGAAGAGCTCAACGACAGCGACGACAGCGTCGCGGACGACGATCCCTCGGACAGTTCACTGTCGCTCGACGCTTCGGCCGAGTCGACGACCACAATCCGATCGTCGTCCTCGTCTTCGTCTGCTGCTTCTATTGCCCGTGCAGCGTGTGACTTTCCCGTGTACAGCACGAGCTTTTCCTGCCACTTCTACATCAGTGTATCGCATGAGGAATACGCCTTTGTCAGTGGCCGGGCGCGAGAGAGAGCCAACGGACCTGTTGGAGACGAGCGACGGCGTCGACCGTAGCGACGTCGCCGTCGCTTCGATACGATGTGCAGACGCGATCGATGACGCGCGCGTAGAACGCCTCGAGCGTCGCGGCAGACGAGTCGCTGATCGGTGGCCGCTTGTCCCGCATGGCCATCGAATGGATACAAAAGTGGACAAGCGGAAGTTGTGAGGAAGTCGACTGACGTTTTGTCTGGACGTTTGTATGGACGTCAACAAAGTACGACGCCGACTGCGCTTTTGTTCGGATTCGTTGGGGTCGATCAGTTTAGGGGATCCAATTTGGCACACGAAGTGATAGGAAACAAAATGAACTCTTTGTCTGAATGAATCATTTCGGGGGCACTGAAGGCGCGATCACTGAAAATCGGCTCAGAAGATTGTCACATGGACCATCACGTTGAGTAAGCAAAGCTGTTGCGAAGAGGAAGCGAAGCTGTAACATGCTTGTCTAGTGTGTACGGCTCGATTGGCTTCCACGTTAGCCCTCTTTCTAGCTATATGTTGCGCTGAAAAAACGTCAAGCGATTGGGTGTGAGCTGGCCTACCGTTGCAATCTGTGCCCTGACGAGCATGATCTCTGTGAGCTTTTGCACATTTGAGGTAGGCACCTTTCCTGGGATTGAGTATCAAGCCACGTGCAAACATCGGAAAATCAGGTCACGTGCAAACTTCGAAGTTGCATACTCAACTTGTGCACTCAGCCTGTGGCGGACAAATCGTTTGTACGCAAATGGATTCTCTAGTACGAGACCCACCTCAACGCTTACTAACCCACCACGAGTTCGGTGCGCTCCCTCGAAGCGATCTTCAATTCGATGTGGATAGTATGGGATTCGAAAGAAAAGGGATTGTGAAGATCGTAAATGTTCGCAATCGAATGTTACCGTCAAAAGTGTGGAGTACATAATGGGGGCGAAAGAGGTGAACATCAGGACTGGCACAAAGGGCGTGCAGCCGTAGCGGAAAGGGTGTCAACATGCAAACTTCCTACGCGATCAGGCTTCCCGAATATCGAGTGGGTTGTTCAGATAACGCGTGTTGGTGTCTTCGTTTCGACAGCTCAGAGATGAGCTGATCGGACTCTTTTTTATTTGCTTCGATCAGGCATTACGACCACACCCTACACGTCCGGTTCTATGCTGTCCTGCAATGCATAACGTCGACTGCACCACCAGCCTCTCTCTCTCTTCTCCTCGTCGGTCCCTCTCCTGCGCATCCCGTTCGTCCTTTACTGACGAAGCATCTCCTGACCGCCACTGTGCGAATCCCGCTTACGCTGTCAGCACGTACGAACCAAAAGCAGTGGCAACAATAGCAGCGTTAGCACGAGCAGCAGCCGAGCAATCCCATCCTGGGCGTCAACAAACAAAAAAAGAATCGACCAAAGGCGTCATCCGTACGCGTTCGCTAGAGCTCAGGACGTAGTAGAGCGTAAAGGGCACAACGCCCCAACCCACGAGCGACGTGAAGAACTGGCGGTTGAACTGGAATCGCTTCTCCGAGTCTCCGCGCCAGTTGTTCCAGTTCTACAATCCAATCAATCAATCAATCACCCACAGGTCAGATATATTACGTATGACAGTGAAACGACCGCAAAGGAGGCGGTCCAACTGGCCAACGAGGCACTCGAGCATCCGACAGACGCACCTCAATGTGCTTGTTCTTCGAGAGGGAGCCGCCGTGGCGACGCGGGCTCTGCAAGTGCGTAAGCGATCGCTTGGAACGGCGGAGGGTCGTGGCCAGCATGGCGAGGGCGTTTCTGAGGCGCGGGGGTCGATTGTCGCATATCATTGGCTGAAACGCGCGTGTCATATCTCCCAATCACATCGAGGATACTGACAATTCCACGAGAATCGATATCGGATGTTCGTCTCCCTTCGTTTGTGATCAAACTGGCTCTCGTTCTTGTATTTATAGAGGCTATGCGTTTCAACAGCAGTCCAAATGGTCACACTCTATAGGAAGGCGTTAACCAGCCAGCATAGCTTCTCGCAAGCGTCCGTCGCGATCGCAGCGGCAGTCCGACTTTTACCAGCGCCATACAAAGAATGAGTCTGCAGCTCCTGCACAAGAAGCTCGCGCACGGCGCCGTCGCAGCGGCCCCAACACTGACGCGCGCTCTGAGCACCGAGAGCTACTCGGCAGCTCAGGCCGCGCTCGGACGCCCCATCTCGCCCAACGTGACCATCTACAAGTTCCCCGTGAGCGCCATCTCGTCCATTGCCAACCGCGTGTCGGGCGTGGGCATGTCGGTCGCCTTTGTGGGTGGCAGTGCATTGGGCGCCGTGGGCGCTGACGTGCCGGGACTGATCTACATGGCGCAGGACGCGACCCCGTTGTTCGCGCCCGTGTCGAAGCTCCTTGTGGCCTTTCCCGCGAGCTACCACGTGCTCTGTGCCGTGCGCCACAGCCTCTGGGAGTACAAACCCGAGCTCATTAACAACGCTGATGGACCCACGAGCTCGTACGCGCTGTTTGCTGCAGCGGGCGTCTTTAGTCTCGGCGCAGCGGCCTATACGATCAAGACACCCGAGAAGAAGAAGAAGCAGTAGAGAGAGAAGAAGAAGAAGAAGAAGAAGAGAGGGGAAGAGGAAGTAGGAGGAGGAGGAAGAAGAGGAAGAAGACGGCTGTGGAGGTGGAGTGAGTAGCTTAGCTCCACGTGCAGACGATTAGTGGGTGACCTCTCATAATGAATACGCACTGCTTTGACAACGAATACCCGACCCCGCTCGACGTGTCCGGCGTATCGGATACTTCCAAAGCGGCAGAAAAAGAGCGCCGTGCCACGACACTTGTGCCGCAATCGCACAGTGTTCAGCGCAGTAGACGGGGCCACACAATCTGACGTGCGGCGGGCCGGTCCCCAGTGGCACAAGGCGACTCGAGAGGGCGGCAACGCCTGTCGCGCGGCCGTCGTCGGCCCAGTCTCAACGTAGTGCCCATTGTCTGCAATTGGCCGTGCCGACTGCAGACTGCCCCTTTCGCTGCAGATATCGCGCACGCTTTGAACACTGACGATCACAGCGGAAGCTGAAGTACGCACCTGGCGATCCGACGGCCACTTGATGAGGTCAGCGGCGGCAAATCCACAGCGCACCTGGACAGGCAACGACTCGGTGCACACAAAGAGACACTTACTGGCGCGCTCGACCAGAGCGTGGCCACGGCTGCCTCCCGACAATGCAGTGGCGGCCGCCTCTTTTTTCCCGCGTGTTTGCCCAATTGATGGATGCAACAGGCGCAGCGACAGCGGTTGGGCCGCCGCTTTGCGTGGCATCATCGCGTGCAAAGCCATGTGGTGCCGTCGACGTTCGTCGCCAGCTGCGCCCTTGTGGCCGTGATAGCGCCAAGCGGACTCACCTAATGTCGTCGGCACACGTGCGCACGTGAGGAGAGACGCTGCTCCGAGTCAAAGCCGTCAGGACACGAGCGGCGACTGTCATTACTTCTCGAGCTCCTCTTCCTCGTGCGTTTTCCTCCTTCCTGCAACAACTACTACTGCTACTGCTACTACTACGACTGCAACGCCTCTTGTGGCCAATATCATACCATCTATCAGGGACCATCACCACCACCACCCCCCGAGTCAAACGGGCTCCTCGACTGTGCGAGCCATTAGCTTCAACGATGAGCGAGCGAAGTCGATCGGCAGGCAGTCAGTCCGTGTGTGGGTTGCGCAGCTATTGGGCACCACGCACGTACGTCTCTCGCGCTGCCAGCGCATTAGTTTTCAACTTTACCATTGGCATCCACATCCCCACGTCCGCTCCAAAGCGATCGAGAGGACAGTCCCTCGACAAGTCAATCGACCGACAGCTCCCCATGTCGACGTCCGTGTACCCCGTCGTGTCCGACTTGACGCCGTACTTTGCGCCGCCAAGTCGGACTCCCCTCATCCACTCGACCGGCTCTGGTGAACCCGTTCCGCCGTTCGGGAGCTGCTTCCAATGCAGCGAGTGCCCGCGGCAGTTCACGCGGCGGTACGCGCTGCAGGAGCACTTGGTCACGCACACGGGCGAGAAGGCCTACCGCTGCCCCGCACGCGGCTGCGGCAAGTGCTTTACCACAACGAGCAACTTGGCGCGCCATCGCCGGCTGCACGGGGACGAGCTCCAGCCGCTCGCGTGCCCCGACCCGTCGTGTACAAAGACGTTCACGACGGCGCACAAACTGCAGCGCCACCTGCGCGTGCACATGGACACACCCACGCGTCGGTGCCAGTTCGCCCACTGCAACAAGACGTTCAGCTCGACGGGCAACTTGAACCGCCACATGCGGAACCAGCACCTGCGCTTTGGCCATTTCTTGGCCAAGAGCGACCACCAGTCGCCCACGAGCGTGAGCGATGTGGAGCCACTGGGGCACAAGTTTACGTGGGCTCGCGGGGGGTCTCCCGAAGACGCGACCGCGGCCAGTCGTTGCGCGGGCGTCGTCTCGGACGAAGAGCTGCTGGAAGTGCTGTCGTGTCTGCTGGACAACGACGACGAGGCGATGGCGGACGTCGCCAGTCGCAGTAGTGGCTGCAGCGCGCTGGAAGAGGTGGACGGAGCAGCGACAGCAAAGCCTTGCAAGGTCGCGCTCTAACGAGCTGTGTGTATGTGTGTATATATTTCTGACAAGAAGAATGAGACGTCTAAAGTTGTGCTGCTACGCTCTCGATGACTTTGCTCTGTTTCGCATGACCTGTGGTCGCTCTTCATAGCGATTATAGAGCGGTGCGTACTCCCCCATCCTACAGCGAAGACACAGGTTGTTGTCCACACAGGTTGTTGTCGCAGGGACCGGTAGCTTTTTGCATCGATCAAAGTAGTGTTCTTAACTGTGGATGGAGGCAAGCGAGAGAGGTCTACCGACCTGAAGTTCCCTAAGGCAAAGACAGACCGATCGACTGGGGTGGACTGACATGTGCCGCACAGTCAGCAAGAATAAGGGCGATGCTGGTCACGCACGTGCGGCCGTACCTGTAGCCGTCGACGAAGATCTTTTCCCGACCGACTACCTTTCATACCCTGCCAGGTTTATGACAGCTCTATGTAATATCATCCCCTACGGGAGCTCTACCTTCAGCTTACAACACCACCACTTGGTCTCCGTCAGACACGTTACCGACGGCCGAGATTTGCAAGGCGCCATCATCAAAAACGTACGTAGTTGTTCGAACGACTAACTTGTCTGGATGTTGAGGCGACCCTACTGGCTCGTGTAGCCGTTGCAGTAGACGTTGTTGTGTCCTTAACAAAAAGGTTACATCGTTCCAACACGACGCGATCGTTGGCAATGTACTCGCACAGACCTGTTCAATCACTTGCGCGTGCGCAAGCGACGAGTATGACGTCTTTGATGTGTGCAAGTCCCAAATCATCGAAGGATAGTAGTGATGCATCGTAAGCAGACACAACAAATCGACGAGCAGAGCGGCTTCCGCGTTACGATTGTGGACCAACGATCGCTTGCACATTCATTGCGTGCCAGTCACCGGCTGTGATGGTTTCCCGTCACCGAAAATTTAACAAAGTTCGGGCTGAGCGAGCGCTTCGAGTGCAAAAATGCTGCGTTTGCGTTGCTGGGATCGAGCGGTAGAAGCTCACGATCCATTCATTGCAAACGATGTCGGTGTCAGCTCGAAGCTCGCAGACTTTCAACGATTCTTTGCGTCGAGAACGAGCAAGGCAGTGAGTGCACTGCATCGAACTCGTAGTGCCGCAATAATGTGACCACACATCGTGGCAAATTCGGATGGGTCTACAGGAGAGCCGTTCCTGTAAGCGGCCGATCTTGTAGCTTCGAACCTGAGCGAGGAATCGAAACATCAATGCTACAAGTATTAGAGCCACTCGTTTCTACCATCACAAAGCCGTCATCTTGCACGATCTGAAAGCCAGCGCGTTAGCCGAATGCAGCGTCTACTTGGAAGTGGCGCTGCCTCGCCGGCTTCACTGAGCGCTGTGTTGCTGTGGACGTGTTGGAGTGAAGCTTAGCTGCTTCGAGCGTATCGGACGTAAACAGCATAAATCATGCGGGTCTTGAGCGCTACGTACTCTGCTACATCCCTGCGTCGACTATCGTCCGAAGCTTTTACGGCGTTAGGAAGCATCCCGGTAGATCTACCACTGGACCCTTTCAACGTCTTTACAACATGCTAATTTCATGCCCTACCTACAGTACACGCAAAGATGGCTGTAGGCTCACACATACATACTGCTTTCGTCACTGTCTGTGCATCTCGTCAGGTTCTTAGCGCTGATGGCTAGCGCCACTAATGATCCACTGTATGCTCGGGTTCCAGCAGCGTGTTCAATCGCAGACTATGCGGCACTTGACGGCTTGCAAACGCAGCTCTGTGAAAAGCAAAGAGAACGTATGGCCGACGCGATCTGTACACATCATGTTTCGTATCGTGTTCGACATCGGGAAAGTAGCCACGCAATCAAACCGTCGTCGGGTCGGTGGATTTTTGAGCACCTCCTCTGCGAACGACAACACGACGTGGACCGAGCAGTCTGCGAAACTTGAAGGTCGCGGCTGCGCTGGATAGACGCAGCCACTGCCTTTTCCATCCTTCGCGCTGCACTTTTATGGGTGAAAAATTGCTGCACACACGTGATCAGGTCCAGCGGATATCTTCGGGTTGTCGACGCATCAGCGATGTAAAAACACTCCCTCTATCGAGATCATTTTGAAGCGTATGGACGGGCTTCAAGCATTAAGCGCTGCGCATCTACAACAAGGGGGTATCGGATACAGATCGAGTCGACGAAACACAGTGCGTTTAGACCAATAACACGAAGAAGAATAGCACCATGACAAGCGATTGGCCGCAAAAAGCGCGCAAAGCCACACTGTAGCTTTGCAAACCCATCGTAAAATTCGATCGATGCATGTCAGAGTATGAGCGGCTGCACAATAGCGTTGCCAGATCATCTACCTCCCAAGCTCTGCGTTGTAACACGCTTGTTCAATCGTTTTTGCTGTGCTCATATTGAACTAAATAGTACTACTACCGGTAGAATAGATTGCCAAACTTCTGAAAGTAATCGGACGTGCATTACTGTTTTATTCGAGCAATCGGGCATGTACAGCACGCCCTTGATCGACAGATGTGAGAGAGTGCATCAAGTGTACTTTCGTATTAGTTTGATGCATGTTGTGCTGTACAAAAGCGGAAGTCAGTTAAAAAGAGCACCGAGGAAATCATTACAGCAGAAGTTATGTGGTTTAAGAGATAGAGCACATTGCTCTATCTCTAATAACATATAGCCTCAATGGACGGAGACATCAAAATCTTGGCAACACCAATTATACGTAGTAGACAGTTGTGCAAGTATAGGTAAACGAGATCGAATCGGTCACACAGCGGTCCTTACAATCGAAATAGATCGTCACTATCCTTTGGGTCAAGAATATCCAGAAGACGACAGACAGCCAGTACCAAAAACATGATAGTACTAATATTGCAAACAAGGCACTGTTTAAGTAGATCCCGGTGGGTCTCACACGTGTCATAAAATGTGAGGCATATGCCTAAATCGATGCCATGTAATCTAACGCATGTTTAGAAGCTGTACCTATGTAGTGGATTGACGTAACTACGTGACGTGACGATGTCTATTCGTGTTAGAAACTATCGTATTTGACAGGTTTCTAGGTTCAAGTACTATACCATGGTACGGTGTCACCTGATTGGCTGGTTGCCATGTGACAGGGCGACACATGGGGCCACGAGAGACGGTCGCCATGTGACAGGTTGACACATGGGACTGCGAGAGACGGACGTCATATGTGACTGGTTATGGTCAAATTGCAGTTTCGTTTTGTCTGGTCATACATATCGTAGTGTTGAGGAAGGTCATGCTAAACACTCAATATATTTCACTTTTACTTCCACCTACTTTGCACCAAGTGCACTACTACGCTCTAACATGTTATGAGCCCAACTAAGCGCGTTGCGGGTGCGGCCGATCAAGCTGCACCTGCTGTGATCGTCGGTGTTTCCAAAACGGCTACCGACGGCCACCTGGAAGAAAAGTCGGCAGCGCCCAGAGGGGAGATGGACCAAGTGCTAGCCGTGCTCGGGGACCTATCCGAACGGATGAATCGGATGGAGGTCTCCCATAACAAGCAAGGTGGCAAGGACCGGCAGGGGTCTTCAGAGTCAGTTTTTGGCTCGGCCCTGGGATTAGGAGAGGGAATGACCCTCCAGGCTTTGGAGCACGCCCCTCCTCCCAAAAGGTCCCCGTATGTGTCGCCAGCGACATATTTCGGGGCAAGACATCACATGCAAGTATATGGTGACGAACGACCAGTGAACCCGGTCGTGGCGGACGTCAACATGGGTCCGACACCAGGACCAGCACAACCTAGGCAAGAGATGCCTGCGGGATATCACCCTGGTCTGGGTATGCCGAACGGGATGTATGTACACCCTGGGCAGCAAGATGCAAGGATGCCGGACGCACGTCATCAGAAACTCGCGATTCAACCTTTTGACGGCAAGGAACTCTACCATGGTCTGGGTAGCGGGTTCCTTAAATGGGGCAAGGAATTTGTCCGCCAAATTGGTTTCGCGGAGCGCGCGTGCGGCTTTGGATGGCCGGAGGACATCAAGGTTGATGTCCTTGGACAACAACTGGCAGGCAAGGCGCAGACGTACTACCGTCGGCAGGTCGAGACTTGGTGGCGCGAAAGCCAAACCTTGGAGCATGCAATGCAACGATTGTTGCAGACCTTTAGCACCAAGATATCGCCGGCGCAAAGCATGAAGCTCTTCACGTCATCGAAGGCATCGCACAGAAGCTGGACATACCATTTTTTGTACCTCACAGCTGTCAGCGATGCCTGCGGCGGTGCAGACAGCTTGGTGCTGGACAACATTGTACACTGTGCCGATCCGCAGATGCTCACGACAATGTTGTCCAGGTTAAACATTCACCGAGTGGACCATCTGCGTCAAGCTGAGAAATTGGCGCAATTTGCTCAGTCTACTGAGGTGGACACGCACGCCAAGAACCTCGGACGGGACGTCGTCAACGTCGTGGAAGCTCCAAAAGATGTGAAGGCGAAGCTCAAACACAAGAGCCAAGAGCGAAGTGACAATCGATCATGTTACCTGTGCGGAGAAGTAGGACATATCAGGGTGATGTGTCCTCAGCAAAGGAAGAAGAAGGACCCGAGAGCAAACTTCGTTTTCACAATTGACGGCAGAACGGGTATACATGAGAGTCAGTGGATACTCGACACTGGATCTAGCCGTCATTTGGTTAACGATCTCAGCCTCCTCATCAACCCTACTCCTTGCCAAAGGGAATGTCTGACCGCAGCCTCCGATGGAAGTGTGCTGCGGATCACCCATCAAGGCACTTTTGAGATTAAAGTCCTCGCATTCGGAGTGATAAATTCGGTGACGCTCCTCGATGTACAATACGCTGAAAACCTTAAGAGGAACATACTCTCCTATGGAAAGCTTGAAGCTAAGGGTTGCGTACTGGAGTACCGGGGAGGAAAGCGCGTGTTGACCTCAGGAATTGGTGGTGTCCCAGTCATGGATGTGGAGCGGTGTAACAACTTACTGGTCATTGCAGTGCAAC